GAATAGAATTTTATAAGATTTCATACAGTTTCGTAAAATTCTATAAAATTTCATTCCTATTTATTTGAAAGTGTGTATTGCTGTGAATTTCTCACGATGCTTCGACTTTAAAATTGAATAGAATTTTATAAGATTTCATACAGTTTCGTAAAATTCTATAAAATTTCGTTCCTATTTATTTGAAAGTCTGTATTGCGGTGAATTTCTCACGATGCTTCGACTTTAAAATTGAATAGAATTTTATAAGATTTCATACAGTTTCGTAAAATTCTATAAAATTTCGTTCTTATTTATTTGAAAATGTGTATTGCTCTACTTGTTGTTTAATGAAAATTCTATGCTCATATGTATGTGCATATGTCCTTGAAAACGACGCTGCTGCATGTAAAGTATCTTCCGTTATTGCGTCTAACGATCTTATCGTAGTAAACATCGTAAAATATATTTGTCACTTACATTGACCCAGTCAACATGATCCTGTAACTTGTCCACCGAATGAGCTAACAATTTCGTGTTTCGACGTTCAAAATGGGGCTGATGTACTGCTAAACGACCCAATTCGGTGGTGCAAACCGGCGTGAAATCAGCAGGGTGGGAAAACAAAACGACCCATCTATAATCAGGAAGTAGAAAATGAACAAAGATATTCCATAAATATCCATAATTGTAAACATAAGTATAACATCAGTCATTAAAATTCATCTCTTCTTTTCACTATCTAAATTTATTAGCAGAAAGAAAGATATGAAAGCTTGATGTAATAACAATTTTATCATTTGATATTAAAGTTATAAACTTTCGTGTTCTGTCATAATTAGGACGCGGATTGGGGATTGCAAGAATGTAAAATATCCAAAGTAGTGCATACTGTGATAAAACAAATCTTTTTTTACTGATGTTCATGAAACTTTTAAAATGTATAAAATCATAAAAACGTGTTGATCAAGCGATAATTTGAAATTGCAATGTATTGAAAGTAATGTATTTCAATTAAAATTCTACGAGAAAGTAGCGACTGCTAACATAAAACTTTTAAAATAAATGACGAACCTTCGCTGTTATTGTTTATAAACAAAACTTTAAAAAAAAAAAAATCTATATTGCTTCACTATTTGTATAACTTGTAATGTGTTTAGCCAAGGGCAACTGCCTCTTAGGATATGTAAGGAGAATTCGAATCTACGCATGTATAATTTCTAACGTCCAATTAATCATGCAAAATTATTCAAATAAATAGCTGGTAGCCAAATGAAAAGAAGGATAAATTGAAGCGAAACTTACGAATCTCCTTGCCAGTCGTAGAAATTAATTTTCCCCTGAGTGCTGTCGACCTCGAAATTCGGCACGATTGAATTAATCCTCATGATTAATCTCGTAAAATTTACGAAAGATCTCACTTTAAACGACGATTTCCCTCGTGGAGAATTATGCTTGCGACGCAGCAAAATACTTCAGGTACTTGTCTCTTATTGCCAGACACACACACGATATATAACACAAATTACGTGTTAACAGCGCTATTTAAGCTTAGGCGTAACTTCCCCCTACTTTGTCACAATTGGCGTGACTGACGCGTTATCTACGTGTACAAATGGATACACATTAAATGGTAAACATGCTTCCTGCAAAGATGTTAACCCACTCTTATAGTTAAAAATTACATCCTTTTACACTCTTATTATCGAGGTTTTTACGTTTTAACGTAAGCTTATGTAACTAAAGTAACAACACTGCCAAGAAGATTTTTAAAAAAGAAGGCCATTTCCTATAAAAGGAAACTAGCATCCATTACAATTTGAAATAGGAGATTGCACGTGAGAGTGGGTTTATATCTTATTGCGTTTTAGACGAGCATGTTACGCATGACAGTTCAGTTCATACTATGAATCTAACGTCCCTTCCTCTTCTTTCATTCGCGTGTAAATTTTCTAATAAAAATAAATCCTAATAAGATCCTAATAGTATTTATTCTCGCGATACTTGGCTAAACAGCTCTTGAAAAATCGTTCGGATTATAATGGACGTACAGTTATTATATTACAGATAGATATGGAGATTAGATTACTAGAAATTTTTATCAAATTAATGATATATTGGAATCGTTTTTTATTCGTTCAACAAGTACTTACTTCCTTCATACCAATTGATATTGAATCTACTGCCATTGAGAGACGTACGTGCATTAAGTAAACAAACCAAATCTACTAAAAGTAGATTTCAATATAACGACAAGTAACGTGCAACATTTGACAAGTGTGATGAACATTTCTTAATCCAATTGTAAGTCTATCATTATACAATATAATAGTTATCGCCAGTATTAAACTGATCTTGCCACCAGTATAAAAAAAAAAAAAAAAAAAAAACAAAAATATTCTATTTCCATTTTTAGAACAAGTAGCAGCAAACAAAGTGTTTATCAGCTATCAAGTTCACCTCTTAAGTCTTTCATCCGGTCTTGATATTGATCGATATGGATCGAAATATGATGTAATTCGCGTGATTATTTTTTCGAATTGTATCGTGTTATACAAAATAAGATTTAGTGAGAATTATGCATACGTGTAAAGCTCGACTAACAATAAATAATCAGCACGTAGACGTGTGTTCCCATTAAACATTCGCTGAGTATTGAAATGAGATAATTGTTGCAATACTAACAGCAATTTTATCATTCACATTACATCAAAGTCACATCTTGTAGAAGGAAATTTAAATAAAAAAAAAAAGATGTCTACATTAGAGAAACACGAGAGTCATTTCATTGACACACTATAATGTGTGGGAAAAAAAAAACAATCATTATACACAGAGATATCATTAAGAACTATGAATAAATCATTTCGATAATTAGATAAATCGATACCGGAGTTAAAGTTGATGCATAGTTGAATCATTGTTTGTATCAGCTTGCATTTCTGGTATCAATGCCTATAGCATAATCATCAGTTTTATGATCCAGAAAGAACTAACAACTCTTTTTATGGCTAAATCAAAACAGAGAAATTCGGTGACTTCGTTTCTAAATTTGCTTTCTCGAGAACGATAAATTACATGAAAGATAGTGGAAGTTGACTGATAAGCTTCGTTTCTTCGCCTTCATTTGAATTGCATCAGATTATATTTTCGAACTTCGTAAGACCGATAACAGATAGAAAAAACAATTCAACATACGATGCTATGCTTTGATCTTATTTATACGCTTCCTAGTTGCAAAATTGCTTTTTTTTTTTTCTTCGAGGCTTCGACTGTGTTTTTCTAAGCAAATAATTTAAAAGATTTCGTCAGAAATTTATCTAATTTCAGCACGAGGGTGGGAGATCTATTGATCTAGATATCAATAGTGATAGCTTTCGCCGATTACTTTTAAATATCAAGTTATAGTGCACTATTAATCTTTTTAGTTGATCAGATGAATAATTATTCATTACATTTATATACATGTAACACAGAAGGTACAATATTAATTTGATACGCAATTCCCAGGTTGCCGTTCCAGACATCGTTGAAGCTGCGAAAGATGCAGATATTCTTATTTTCGTAATACCTCATCAATTCATACGAACATTGTGTGCGACATTGCTCGATAAAATTAAACCAACCGCAATTGGTGTATCATTGATCAAGGTATTTATTGTTCATTAAATCTTGTTCGCAAAATGTCACTCCCGTATATATAATTAAAAATGACGAATATCTATCGAGGGTTTCGATCGAGGAGATGGAACGAATATTGAGCTAATCTCTAAGATCATTGAAAAGAATTTAAGAATCCAGTGTTACGTTTTAATGGGAGCAAATTTAGCTAATGAAGTTGCCGAGGGGAAGTTCTGTGAAACAACTATTGGTAATCACGTACTTAATGGGATCTTCGTGATCCGAAAGTTGCCAATTCAATTGCATTTAATGATTTGTAGGCTGTAGAGACAAACGTTTGGCACCATTACTGAGGGACCTTATACAAACTCCCAATTTCAGAGTTACGGTCGTCGAAGACTGTGAGGCAGTTGAAGTATGTGGCGCCTTAAAGGTATGCAATGTATACACACATATAAAAAAAAAAACAATTTCTTTTCTCATTCACTTGTGTACTTACTTTTGTCTGCTTTTGTTTAGTATATCTAAGTACATTTTATATGTTTCAGAATATTGTGGCATGCGCCGCTGGTTTCATAGATGGTATAGGACTGGGTGACAATACGAAAGCAGCGGTAATCAGATTAGGATTAATGGAAATGGTCAAGTTTGTAGACACATTTTACACTGGCTCGAAACTTTCAACATTCTTTGAAAGTTGCGGTGTAGCCGATTTGATAACCACCTGCTACGGTGGAAGAAATCGCAGAGTCTGCGAACAATTCGTTAAAACTGGCAAAGTATAAATTGCATTTATTCTCACATCATCTGAATAACGAACAGTTATATTGTGATTTTTCTTGCTAGACCATCAGACAGCTGGAAGAAGAACTTTTAGGTGGTCAAAAGTTGCAAGGTCCAGCTACAGCTGATGAAGTCCATGGAATGTTGAAAGCTAAAAATTTACTAGAAAAATTCCCATTATTCACTGCTGTGCATCGTATCTGCACTGACCAGATAAGACCAGCAGATTTAATTGACCAAATTCGTAATCATCCTGAACATGTGTTAGTATAAAATTACATTTACTTGTAATTTTATATCTATTAAATCTCACATTTCATAAAACAAATATCCTATTAGGTTTGCGCCAAAAACGTTGTACATGTACTGAATACTGTTCCCATATTTCTTTTCCCTTTTTTTTTATATCTTTTTGTAACAAGAAAGTATTAAAATTGTTCTTAACAAATTCGAAAAACCCATTTATATCGGGATAAGATGCTGTATAATACAAAAACATAGAAAGTACAGTGACAGCTTACTAATACATTCAATCAATATACAAGGATAACATTCCATATAAGTAAGTATTATTTTAATAGAAATCTCATGATAAATGCAATTTTTTAATTGCTTATAATGTTTCAATTGATAATATCTGTAGTAAAAAATTATTTTTATATTTACCAGGATGAAGATCGCAGGTGCGGAGTAACTGGAGGCTGAAAGTTACTGAATAAACATCTCAACAATTCGAAAAAGACCTTAGAAATCATTAAATCATAACATAAAACACGATCAATTATTAGAAAAAATGTAATGTTGCAAATATTTCGCAATGATTAACTATAATTGGTTATTGTTTTTCCTCGACAATTAATATACAATTGTACTATAAATACGGAATAAAATACCAAACTTTGTTCTTCTAGAATAATTCGTAATTTTTGTGACAAATCTTTCAAAATAATCGCTGCACATAACATCATAGAAAATTTCTGTAATCGGAAACGCTGGGAGTGCGTCACGAATCTCCCAAATTTCAATGCAATCTTGCTCCTTAAACTACATAAAAGATTCAAAGTGCCAAATTAATTACAGAAACATATTTCTTTATAAAATGAATTTCTCTTTTTATTCTAGACTTAATGAACTTATTACGAAATTGAAATATATTTTATATTTACAATTATTACTTTGGTTTATCTTTTGAAATAGATGTATCTGCATTTTTATTACTAGTATCACATTCCTCATTCTTGTAAGGTACACTGTCTACCAATTTATCAGGTGTAAGACGTAACGCTAAAACATAAAACTAAGTCAGTACAGTAACGAAATTGTAAATTATTTGTATCTTTAGAATATTACTGTATGTTCCAGGTCGTGTTTCAACCCCTTGAATTACTGATGTTCGTAGTTCATATTCCACTTCTTCCGCAAATTTATTTAGCTAAAACGATATTCATTTAGTATTTAATTCAAATATCAAACATGAAATTTTACCTCTTCAATAGCTGCTGAATTAGTGACAGTTTTATATTTTCTGTACTCCTCATTTATCTTGTTCCTTGTAACTGAGTAATATTTATTAAAACATTACGGATTCAATGAATATTTAAGCTACGTTAAAATACCTTGTAATGCATGTTCATCATCTTGAAAAGTAATCATTCGCGTACGATGTAGATTTTTAAATGTGCGTAATACCTAAAGAAGATGCAAATAATCTCGGACCGTAGATATATCTACATATAGTATAACATATATATCTACATAATATATAACATATATATATTTCTAAATCATTTGATACATTATTTAGACTATTTACGAAATTATCGGCATAAAACCCAACAGTTATAAACATAAATTAAAAATATCATTGATTCAATCATAATCTCTTAAATAATATTAAAAAATTGAATGACAAACATTACCTTTCGTCGTAGATTATCTCCCATGCCTTTAATGTAAAATATTATTGACAAATATGACGAAACTCTCTATTTTAATCCTAAATATAATTTAGCAGAGTCGAATCTCTGAATTAAAAAATTTAGTTAAATGTTAGGTTAGGTGCATTCCCATTTGAGGCAGCACTGGTAGATTCACATTGTTAATATATCTGTTTAAATATGTATAAACATTGCCTCTTATTAATTATTAAATTATTACTAGATAAAACTTACATGTCTCAAAATATTAAATTACCAATTTCTTAAAATTATTGTTTTTATAAAATGTAATTTTTTATGTATGTTCTTTTTTTTTTATAATGCGAATCTATAATTTAACCTACTTTAAAATGTATTGAAATATACATATGCAACATAAATATGTGTGTATATAAAATGTATATATATACGTATAAGCACAAACCATATTATCAAAATATGATTGGAATAAAAATTTTATATGTACTAATATGAATCAGATGTTAGTATATGTACGCGGTGTAGATTTTAAGAAACGCGATAGAATGCAAACATATATAAAAGACAATATTCTGTTTGAAATTTAATATAATTAAGAAAATAATATTTATCAATAAATAAATTATTATATTCTGTTTGGAATTAAAAATATAATGAACAAAGAATGTCCAAGTTGCAGACAAATAACAAATACATCACGTACAAGACTTGTAAAAGATAATTGTGGACACATTAAATGTCGCATGTGTTTAATATATGAAGAACAAGGTTGCAAAATTTGTATAAATGAGCACTGTGTACAAAATATCGGAAATTATGGTAGGAAATCCATAACTTTTTAGATTTAATATTAACAATTATAATAGTTTTGTTTTATTTGTTCATATTTTGATTTAGATTGCCCTCCTTCTGAGAAAAAAATATTAAATGATATTTCTACTTCTGATAAAGGTAATGCATGTAATGACATATTACCTTTAGAATTAGTTATTAATAAAGATTCTAAACTTAAGAACACTGAATTAATTTCTGTTGATTATATAAATAACTATGAATTATACCCTAAAGATGTATTTAATAAAGCAAAGGAACATAAATCTCCAACAGAAATTGAAAATGATGATATGTCAAACAAATACATTTCAAACGTGAAATCTAACAATATACTTTTAAATGTATATCCTCGTTTAAGTAATAATATAATAGTAAAATCACCTAGCAATAAAACATCAGAAATTTGCAATGGGGTAAGTCTTATGGTTTATAAATAACATTGAAATTGTCATGTTTCATATTAAAGTTTTTTTTATATATATAGGAGATTAAAACAGAATATCCGACAAAAAACAAACTAAAAAATAAGCCAATAAAATGTCATGATCGTAATCATATTATCGTGATACCAGGAACACCAGAAAAATATAAATGCAATATATGCAGCAAAATTTTTCGAAACAAGAAAGGAAAATGTTATCATGATGCTTGTATAACAGGTGTCAAACCGTATCAATGTTCTTTTTGCGACAGAAGTTTCATCAAAAGGTCTCACTTTGAATACCATGAAAGAATTCACAAAGGATACAAGCCATATAAATGTAATCTTTGTGACAAAGCATTTCCTCAACAAAATAAGCTTAATAGACACATGTACTCACATGGTACTATGCTTTTGTAATATAAATATTTTTTATATTATTCAGATTTATTAAAATTTATTATGAATAAACTTAATTTTAGGAGAAAAACAATTTACGTGTCCTAAATGTGATAAAAGATATTCCAAGCAAGATGACTTAAAAAATCACTTAGATGTACATAATGAAACAACCACATATTCTTGCACAGCATGTGAAAAGACTTTTAAAATGTTAACTAATTTAAAACGCCATCTAAAAACACATACTAGTAAGTTGTACAAGGAAAAAAATATTAAATAACTTTAAAGCTATCTTAAATTTAACAACATTATTTTATTAATAGATGAAAGACCATATGTATGTGACCAATGCAATAAGAGCTTTAAAGATAAATCTTTATTAATTCGTCATAAAAAAACACATGGAAAGGATAGGCCATTTTCATGTGCACATTGTAGTAGAGTATTTTTGTCTAAAAGTGAATTAAGGCGTCATTTAACAGTTCATTCAGGTATGTTATATTATACAAACTATGATATGATACTGTATTAAAATGATATGTAAATTTTATTTCAGACGAGAAACCATTTTCTTGCAAATACTGCGAAACTGTATTTAGGAGAAAAGATAATTTACATAGACATATTAGACATCATCACCCAGAAAGTCCATCATTTAATAATGATAAAGTACAGAATACGGTTTCTGAAACAAAATTAATAAAATCCAAACAGATAAATTTTAAACAAAAGCAAACGACAAAAAAAACACAAAAAATTGTTTCTAATTTATTACCAAAAACTCCAACTAAAGTATCAGTAGTTTGTATAAGTTCATGTGACCAAATCAGTTCTAGATTAGATTCAATGGGTAATATCACACCTGTTATAAGAACTACTAATGAAGTAAGTAATGCAGTTTCTGTTATCAATGGACCAATTAATATTAAAAATCTAGATGATAAATCTGATACCAAAAGAAAGACATTTACATATACAGAACCAATACCTCTTGCTGAAGCAGTGGTAATAAATAAACGTATTGAGGAAAAGTTATATCCACAAAACGCATCAAGTCATAATTACTTTCTCAGAAATTGTTTGAATTGTACAGATAAATAATTTTCTAGCCTGTAAATCAAACATCTCGCACAAATTCTAATCAATAATATTCAAATTAGAAAATTTAACCAGAATTTATGTACAATATGAAACAACAAATTTATAAGGAAAAGATGTAAAAAAGATGAAGATAATGGCAAATAAGAAAGTGAATAAAAGTAATATTAAAAAAATATATTATATCAAAAACAAACACATTTTAGAATAAAGTATCATTTTATAGCAATTTATATACATTATTATATACAATATACAAATATGAACATACAGTGATACACAAGATGTGGTTGAAAATTATATACGAGTTGATATGATATAATTTTGAATATTAAATATTTCACTGCCAGAAGATCAAGGATCAAATAAAAGAATAAAAGTAAAATATAATAAAATCATTGTTGTTTCAATTTTTTAAAAATACATACCCTTTTGGATATTATATATCATATAATGTCTGTCAGTTTTATTTAAATATTGTAATTCTTAAAATGTAACATAGAGATAATAAAAATAATTGTTATATAATATAATTCTAGTTTAATTCCATACAATGTACGGTAAAATTTTTTCTTGCGACTGCCATTTATATGTAGTTTGATTTAGTGACAATTGCCATTTCCGGCGCTGTCTACAAACGCTATATATTTAATTACATTTTATAAGAAAAGAACACATTTTTAACCAAAAATATGTGATATTTATATATATTAATATACCCAATATAATTATATAACATAAAATATTTAATGTGCTAATACACGATATTTATTGCTTATACAAGAGAATGTATACAATGAGGATGATTCATACATTTTTTCGCCATAAACAACTAGTATATATTGAGAAATATGAAAATTAATGCATATAATTTTTTCAGATAATATTCAAACTTAATATTTTGAAAAATTATAAAAGAAACGGTAAATTAATAAATAATATGAGTCTGCGCATGCCTGTAATATTTGTATTGCAATTTGCGCATTTGGGGTTCACACAAGTATTTGAAAGGAATAATAATCGATTGGTCAACGTGCGTGATCTCCATTTCTCGTATACAAGTTTGGAGATTCTTTGTGTAATTTATAACAAGGGCCAATTTGACCCTTTAAAATTACCAAAAATGGTTAAAATGGAACATGATGTAAGTACAAGTTTATCAGTTAACTATTAATTTAGAAAATTTTTTTATATATTTGCAAGGATAACGTATATTACGATACGAATTCATATCTAATCTTAGCTCGTTTGTTACTTTGTCATATGTACTTTATATGTATATTGTAAAATGCTCAATACTGTTACTTATTATTAAGCTTTTCTATAATCTTTTTATTGTTTGTTTTTATGTATTTTTGTTGTTTATTTTATATATAATTTATTACATGCTTTACGTATTTCATGATTTATTGAAGATTTTTTTATCATTTCATATTATAAATGCACGATTAATTTACATAATTGTAATATAAAAATCTGAAAATAGCAATATTAAAACATTAAAATGTTTCTAAATATTTATCGCTTTATTGTTTTGATATAAGTAATTGACGTAAGTAGATATTTTTGTCGTTCTTTTATAGTAAAACGTACCCCGACGCTACGCCATTTAAGATTTACTGATCTTTATCTTACAATGTATATTATGTTTTTTTTTTTTTTTATGAAATTAATATAATGTTTAAAATTTATTAATGTTATTAATATTATTTATTATCAGTCTTTTACGTTATTATAAATTATTTTACAACTTATACGTTATTTGTAATATATATCATTATTTGTTATATAAATCAATAAAATCTGTCAAAAATGTTTTTTATATCTTACAACAATACAAAGGATTAATATGGTAATAAGATTTAGTCTTTTGATAATTACTATTTAATTACATGTTAATTAAATGTTATATGAATATTGAGGTTAACTTTTTCATTGCAATACTTTCAAGTAACTTCAAGTAATTTTGGAAATTGTATTAATAAATATAATAGTAATTATAATATCCATAGCATTTTACTTTTGTTTTTCTAATTTTAATGATTTTGGTATTTCAGGATGGGAAAAATGAACCTGAACATGTTAGGAAATTATTTATTGGTGGATTAGATTACAGAACTACAGATGATTCTTTAAAAAAACATTTTGAAAAATGGGGAGAAATTGTAGATGTAGTTGTAATGAAAGATCCAAAAACAAAACGATCTAGGGGATTTGGATTCATTACCTATTCTCGTGCACATATGGTGGATGATGCTCAAAATGCAAGGTATTTTAATACATACAATAATCTAACATGATCTGTTTCTTTACAGTATTAAAATTAATATATTAATAGTAAAGAGTTGAAAAAATGAAATGAAGTAAATAATAGTACATAAATTAATATTTTTTTCTTTTATTATTTCCAATTATAGACCACATAAAGTAGATGGACGTGTAGTTGAACCTAAAAGAGCTGTTCCTAGACAAGAAATTGGTAGGCCAGAAGCTGGTGCAACAGTGAAAAAATTATTTGTAGGTGGTTTAAAAGATGATCATGAAGAAGAAGATCTTAGACAATATTTTCAAAGTTATGGTAGCATAAATTCAATCAGCATTGTAACAGATAAGGAAACTGGCAAAAAACGTGGTTTTGGTTTTGTTGAATTTGATGATTATGATCCTGTAGATAAAATTTGCTTGCAACGCAATCATCAAATACGTGGCAAGCATGTAGATGTTAAAAAAGTAAGAGAAATATTAATATATCATTTATATAGACTTAAAGATGTGTTCTGAGTTTTATAGATTTTATTATATTCTTATGTTAATAGGCTTTAAGTAAGGCTGAGATGGCTTCTGCATCAGGAGGTGGTGGTGGTAGTGGCGGTGGTGGGAGCAGAGGAGGACAGAATGTCGGAAGAGGACCCCGTGGTGGCAATCAGGGTGGCGGTAATTGGGGAGGTCGTGGAAGTGGAGGTGGTGGAGACTGGAATAATGGTGGTAATCAGGGTGGTTATGGTGGAGGTAATCAAGGAGGTTGGGGTGGTAACGGCCCTTGGGAGAATCAGAATCAAGGTAAAGGTTCGCAGAAAGATATACTTTTCCCATTTTACTAAGTATTACATCAATATATTGATTAATAACGTATTAGGTTAACACTATATTTGTACAAAATATTAATAAATGTTATCTTTAAGGAGGTGGCTGGGGAGGTCAAGGAGGTCAAGGTGGATATAATAGTGGTGGAAATTGGAGCAACGATAACTTCGGAGGAGGTTACCAACAAGGCTATGGCGGTGGTCCAGTACGGAATAATTTCAACTCTGGAGGAAGACCTGCACCCTATGGTATTAATATGGGTCCTAGTGGCCGACAGTCTGGAGACTCGAGATGGCTACCACCCTTCGGTGGACAAGGTTGCTTCTGTCCTTCTCAAAAGCCAACGCGTTTGTTACGTGCCTTGAGCAACTACCTGTAGATTCGCATTGATTACTTGTAATAACATATTTTTAATTATATTATAGTATATGTAATATACTATATATCGTTCATAACTATAACAAGTTGCACAAGGAGCGTTCAGCTTATAATTAGTACAATTTTATAATATTACTAATTAAGTATTCACACGAAATATGATATATCGATTTCAATTAAACTTCGTAAGCAAAGAATTGAGAAATATTTGACAAATATTTGATTATTACTATAAACTTTCAATATTTTATTTACTAAATAACAAATTATTTTTATGATAAAACTTAAATTTTTATATAAAAATAATGTAATATTCACAAATAAGATCATAGAGTATGGTAAATGGTAAGTATATACATATAGTTATTCAAAATTTTTCACAGTTTTAATTTCTTATTAGTAAATCATTTTGAATGAAAAATAAAACTACATCATGTATCAATACATGAATAATATTTCACGAATTATTGAAAGTGTACATTAATAGATTAATGTTTATTAAATATTTTTTCCTATTTGCATACAAAGTATCATTGAAGTTGATATGCAACACTCGTGTGATTCTGTTGTAAAGTTCACCTATCAATGAGTTTGATAGATACCAAGTAAATAATCACATAGCGTGGTAAGATTAATTCGAATTACATAGTTAATCTAATAATTACCAAGTGGACAAACAAACTGGATAAATATATTTTTGGTATAAGTTCTGCTAAGGCATAAGGCGCGATGTTGCAGTGAGAAGGAGCGCCTTTGTCCATTTCCTTTATTCTGTTCGAATTCAGTTTGCTCATATGCTAAATTATTATTTTATGAAGGTATTTTATTGTAGAAGTAATTATTTTACAAATATTGAATATCATATTATCATTTCCATAGTCTTTTTTTTTATTTAAATAAGTGCAAATGTTAGACTGAGAAATGCTTATTTATTTTAATATTGTTTAATCATATTTTGTATGTATAGTAAATTAATTAGTCTAATTTTACTGAAAACGCTTCATCTCTCACTGTTGTTAGGATAGTAAGATTAGAATGATTATATTCTTATAAAATAAGTGATATTTTATAGAATTTTATCTAATTTTAAACAGTTTTACTAACCCTTGGCAATTTATTTTTCAGGTCCTATGGGTGGTGGAAATTCTGGAGGTGGTGGTGGTGGTGGTTATGGTAACCAAGGTGGCTATGGCGGTAGTTCTCTTGGAGGTGGAAATATGGGAGGTGGAGGTGGTGGTGGAGGAAGAAGATACTAAATACATTATCCATGGTTACTTCCCTCACGTGGTAAGCAAAATTTTATTATATTTTTCTTTTTTAAGGATATATTAAAATGATGATTATGTTTAATTTACATTTAAATGATATTACTATTCTGAAATAAAACTTATTTTTATAAATAAGTAATATATTGCGAAATTTATTTTTTTAATAAATACATTAAATAATTTTAGATAGAGTTTCATTGAACTCTATCAATTACAATCAAGATTTTCATTAAGCAAAATTATAATTAAATAGGTATTAAAGAATATTTGTATCAGTTCTCTGATACAATGACTTTTATTTTATTACGAAGTACACAATGGCTTGTATATGCACATACGTATACTAAACTTAAAAATTTTTGTATATATTTGATGTGGTTATAAAAATAGTGGGATTATTTTTATTAAAATATCGCTATATTCATAATTTACAAACTTCAAAGTACAAATATTTGTACTTATTGCAATATTATCAAATAAATTATCAATAATTTGCACTGGAAATAGTAATAGAGCAGAATTATTAATAATAGAGCAGAATTATTAACAATATTTAATTTATTTATGTACAATTATATATCAATTTATAATAAAATCTTATTCTTGGTGTTTCATAAATTATAGAGGCTGTTATATAGATTTATATTTAATTGATATAGTTATGCAGTGCTAAAATTGTATTAGACAAATTTTTTTAAAATATATTAAGATATAAATATTCTTGGGTAAACCTTTTATTCTATAAATATTAGTTTATATATAAAATAAATATTAGAAACCGCATGTTTTATATAAAGTAATAATATCTAACTATGATATAAAATTCTGTTTTCATATATATTTCGATTACTTCTTAAATGCCATTAATAAAAGTATTCATTTAATGTTCTGAAATTATTGTAAGAGAACTAAGAAATATAACTTGTTTAGTTATATTTTGTTTTATATTCAATTTATTTTAATGGGTAAATAGAATGTATGAGATATCAACTATTATTATTTGAGAAACACATTTTAGGAATAGTATTTTACATAATTGTTTGAAATTAATATCGCATTAATGCATAATTTATTATTTATTCTCAATTTTTAATTTATTAAAGCACTTTTATTCAATAGGATATTATCGTATGTTGATAAATAATAACAAATTAGTACTAGTTATTTCATTCATTAGTAATTTATTATACCAGTATACTTATACTTTTTCTTCAAAGGTGATTGTAGCTATGTAATTACAAGCGATTTTTCTATGATCATAATTATTAGTTGTGGTTATATTTAGCTGCTAATAGAAATTTCATATCTTACTTATGTCAATATAACTGATTTATATAACAGTACTATATGCAACAAATATTGATAACTTTAAAAAATTAAATGCACACTTCAGTACATTTTGAGTACTGAATATTTTGAGACATTTATGTACATTATAATTTTGATAAAATGAAGTTGAAAATAATGTTTTTAGCATAATTGTAAGGATAGAAGGATACAAAATATCTGAATACTTTTACTTTAAAATTGGGAAAAATTTTCAAAAATATTTTATTTTTATAGTATTAAGTGGTATAATTAATATAATTATATATAATTATTATAGTATTTCCCACAAGATCATCTGAATAATAGATAATGTTGAATTGTGGCAAGCAATACTGTATGTAAGAACAAGAACGTTTATTTTAAAAAAGGAATTGTAAAGAAATGTAATGAATATATTGCTTATCCAAATTCATTATAAAATAACAAGTATTAAAAAAAACAGCTTTAGTATTAAATATTCAGATATTGAAATAAAATCTTTTATACGTTTTACATATGACTTAATTGGTTGTAGAATTTTATTTTGTATTAATAAAATTAAAAAGTAAAAATTTGTTACAAAATTATTAATTGATTATTTTATGTACAACAAATTTGATATTTGGTAGCAAAATATACTTATTGATTCTTATTTGAATAATATTCTAATTATTTAATATAAAAAATATGTTGCATAATACTGTATATCAGTCATATAACAAGAAATGTAAGGAAATACTCTTAAAGTGATAGTAAATAATTACACATTTGATTTTTAGCTCAAAATTCATAGATTCTTACAATTTGAGTATATTCAATCATCTTAACTAATAGATTTGTGACTTTTGAACCTCAGGTGAACCTACTACTTGTCTTCTAGTCGCCAGTACTTCTGTACTGTTTAGTATTGGAGCAGGCAGGGCTATAAGGCTAGAGACAAGACCAGGCAGGACAATCAGGATACAGGACAGAGAAGCGTCATCTTAATAGATCACAGTGAGGGAGGCTTTTACTTGTATTTCTTTTGGTATCTAGCACCTATTGCATATATCTTATATATTCAACTATTTATATGAAAATATTGCATCACAATTTTCTAGATTGTGCCTGAACTCATTGTGTGGCACATATAATATCCAAAAAACAGAAACAAATAATTATTAACATGTAATTATCATCATTGTTAGAGAAAAAGATACAAATTAATTTAATTACTCAGTTACTATGGCTAGGGATACATCCGTGCCATCCAAATATTTGTAACGTTTTGTTATATTTACTGTAACACCTTCAGAAATGACTATAGACCTAGGATTTTATATTAGACATTGGAGAGCACGATTGTTTCTCTAATTTAATGGAATATATCGATAATAGCAGTGCATGTAAAAATCTAGGTTTTGATACATTGATGATTTATTTCACTATAAACAAGGTGGTTCTTACATAGATTAAACATCTCAGGATAAAAGGGAAACTGCATGGAAAAAAATGTTAATATGAAATGAAATTAATGAATTCGCAAAAGAACCAGGTTCCAGGAACCATTACAATTATCAGTTAGCATTTTCGTAGGTTACCTAGACTAATTAATTATTTAAGTTGTAATGTTTTAAGAGTTAGTTAATAAAAATAACTAGAACCTTCCACGTTACTCTTTAATTTACAAAATATAATGTCCATAGTATAGGATAAGTCAAAAGTACAAGAACATGTATCGGAATAGGGAATAGTTAGAGATAAGGGCAGTCCTCTATTTGGTCATTATTACAGATACATTTGGTTATTTTATACAAATATTAATGAAAAATTTGAAATATTATACATAGGAAGCATTCTTGTATTTGTCAACTATGTAGTCAATCGAAGCACAACTAAAGGCTTTATATTTATATGTATCACAGTATTAAACAATTTGTATATATAAACAATCTGTGACTAATTTTGTGTAATTTTTAGGATATATAACAGGCATGGATTTATGAATGAAGGGATACGTTCAATTTTACATTTTATATAAATTTCTATCGTAAATTATATGTGCTAAAAAATATCAGTCTATAAAAATTTGTCATAAATACTTTTATGTAATAATAACGTATTAAAGATTATAAAAATTTATGAAATTCTTAATGAAAATTTAAGTTGTTTTAAATTTATTTTTATTATATATGTTTATTAGTATATTTTATTATTTATGTTTATTAGTATATGTTTATATGTTTCTATATCATATCACAAATATAGCAATAAATAGAAATGTGTATATTCTTAATAGATACGAGAGATTTAATTTAAATGGAATTTAATTCTATTTTGTATCCCTCTCAATTAAATCCACTTTCAAAAAATACAATCTTTAATCAGTGTTGTGCAAAATTATAACGTGTAACTTGAATGCTACTTTCTGTTTTAATTCTATCTACTCAAATTGACAGTTAATCACAGAGGTATAAATATTTTTTAGTATAATTATTTTATTATTATGATAAATTTATTATTATGATAAAAATTCCACAAAGCAATATAGTTTATATCGTATTTGTGAACATATTTTATATTAATATATTAATATAAATGTACATATAAATATATTCTACAATTAAAATATGATTGATATTATTATTTTCAAAAATAGATTCGATTTTATTATTATTGTATAAAAGACAATGAAAATAAAAAAGATTATCATTATCATGTTACTTATCAGATGAATCTGCAGGAATAAACTAATGTTTGAATCGTTTTTCATTAGTAGTATTATATTTTACATTAATATTTATTCAGGTTGCACAACACTGATTATAAATAAATTTTTACATATTTTCAAGCTGAATTTTGATTTCTTTATTTAATTTTGAATTAATATATACATTCTGATCTAATCCGTAGTTATATTCTTTCGGATATTAAGTTTATTATTATGAGGTTTAGTAACACAGTGTTTTCTTTTTTTTACTATTATAATTAAAATTTACTATTATATAATAGATTTACATCGTTAAATGTGATTATTAGGTAGTATGGAATAAGCAATTATATAGGTACAAAATTTTTTGGGCATACAGTACCTGAATAAAAATATTCTTAGTTAGATCATTCTATCATCTAGCAATTATCTAGTATCGAAAGTTAGAAGAGTGAAAATAAAAGAAGAGACTAAAAACGGGCAGGTAGCAGAGCAAAGGGATTCTGAACTACACAGCAAGGCTAGGCTTTGCTAGGCTTCTTGCTAGCTTCTGTTGTACAACTACAGGTAGGAATATTAGATTCATTTGTTTAGACATAGGGGTTTTAAATGACAGATTATGCATGATATTAATGTTTTTTAATATTTCTATTAGATTATGCTATTAATTTAATAATTATTTCTTTTCATAAAAAGAAACTAAAATATATAGTTAAATAAAAATTATTTATCAAATTTTGCTTTATCTTATCAATTAATGTATTATGTTATATATATATATATAACATAATACATATACATATATATACATGTGAGATAAAGCATATGTATTAATAAAACTGTAAATTTTCTTTTCAATATACTAAAACTTTATGGTGGGGAGAGAATGATAAAAATTTATGGAAATAAATATTATAAATATTACTATATTTTACAATTAAGCAATACTATTGTGATTCTTTTTTTTTCAAATGAGGATGAATTAGAAACGTGCGTTATATTAAAGTATGTTATTTTATTTCGTTAAAATAAATTAAAGGGTTAAATGCATCTGAATTATGAAAAAATATCAATTTTGGAAATTACTTCACACACTTACTATTGCATAAAAATTTAAATATGAGTTTAGTAATTGTATAAATTGTGTTGCAAAATATTGAAAAATAGTGTTCAATTATTGTATCAGAAATTTATAATTCTATAATAAGATTAGATCATTTATTGGAGAATAATTATTAATTAAAAGATTTTAAAGTATTTCTATTTTAAACATATGAATTTGGTTTGTATGTAGTTTATATATTTATTAAATAAATTTTTAATATTATGTTAAAAGATCAACATTTTGACCTTATCTAGATGCACATAGCCTTTTAAGTTATTTACTGTATATATTAATATGCAAAACAAATTTTTATTTACAAAATTTAATATTTCTTTATTTGAAAATCTTATTATTTATGATAATGAAGTCAATATAAAATATCAAGGATAGAAAAATTATATTATTCTTCTATATTCTTCTATATTCAATTATGTCAATACACATTAAGAATGTACAAATATTTACAAAGATCTAATTTGATTTAAATATGAATTGTATAAGCAGAAGATAGAAATTATTTTTGTTTTACTTGTATATTAACTGCTATCTTTCGTTTTCATTAATTTCTGGTTTACCATTTGGGCTGGTACTCTCAGAGCGCTCCATGTCACAACTACCATTGTCACTCGTCATAGGAGGTAAGTTAAAATCAGCTGCTTTTTTTAAGTTTAAAAATTACAATATTATACAATTATAATGTTTTAGTATTTGATATTTTCAAAATTATCATAACTTTTTAATATGAATTATATCAAGAATTCAAAAGATAAAGATATATAATATCACATAATTTATACTGCTATATACTGCATTACATCCAGTATGTGAGCATGTTATATCTTTATCTTATGTTAGCATATCTTATCCAGTTAGCATATTAAATCTTTCAATTTAAAATCAATTTTATTTCTTAAAGATTTTTTTGTAAAATAACGTTAATAAGTTTAGAAATCATGATCTGATAAGAAGTAAGTTTTGCGAAATTATATATTCTTATAAGAATTAAATAAAATTTAAGGATTTTAACTAATTTAAAACTAGTTCTCAATCAAAAGAATAAATCAATAGATAACTCAGACTATTTATAGCAGAAAATAAAATGAATATACAAGAAAGTTACAGAATGTTAAAGCATTGTTATGTAGTTAACACTAAACGTATCGGCATTTTACATATATCTATCTTACAACAAGGGGTCAAATGACTCCTCGCGGTACATAAGGTATGCAAAGAATTTTTCTCGGTAAAAAATAAGTTAAAGAGAAAACAGAAAACGAGAAATTGAATAATCAGATAATATAAGAATTTACGCTTGGTACGTTTAGTGTTAAATGACTATTGAAATTTGATATAAAAGAGAAAAATATTATATAAAAATATGCAGAAGATAAAATATTATATCATTATAAACAGTTTTTAATATAGAATTTTTAGTGAAGTATATTTTTAAAAAGTTGATCTTATGAAACATTTAATGAGTGAAATGATAAAAAATAATGAATTTTCAATTTTTAGAGTGGAATAAAAGAAATAAGAAAAGAAAAATTAATAATATTTTTTACAGAATTTAATTACCATCAAGTGCGTTTATTAATGCAATAATGAACAATATTAAATGACGTTATTTAACTATTATACATTATAAAGGACTAATTATTTACATTAATTTTCAGCAATGTAACGTTGAATATATCTTTGAATGTAATAAATCTTTTTTCAGTATGTCATTGTTTTTCTTCATACCCTTTTACCTTTATACCATATTTTTAAAATATACCAAATTTTTTTTAAATCTGTGTTTGAGCTTGATATGAAAGATGAAAAAGTAATAGAATGTTTATATTAGCATTATTTATTGTTACAAATTACAATTACATTTTAAATTACAGTTTAAGAATATATAGCAATATACTATGTCGCCAGTATATAAAAAGTTAATGTTTAATGTGCATTTCAACGCATTTAAAGATTATTTGAATTAATATATTGCTTAATATAAATATTTGTTAAATTGTTCATATCATACATATTTTATTATTGTATATTAATTTATATTTCAATTCTAACATTACTAGGATTTTCTATTTTTTTTTATTCTTCGTTATGTACCTTTACTAATCTTTTTACACTGGATTCCAATTGTTTTTAATTTAAAGTAATAAATTCCAAAATTGCACAAAATACAATTGTTATAATTATTTAATATAAATTATTTATAGAACAAATTTTATCAGAGTACATGTTAACTAATTTGTAAATGAATACTTTTCGCAAAAAATTCTTTTTTTCAAATTTCAAACAGAAAAGACATTTGGTGTATTGTCTAACACTTCACTTTCATTACATTGTGATTTTGTAAAAGTTCCAGTAACAGGATTCATCAAAGTACAAGAATGGTTAGTCGCAGATCCAAAGGTTTTTTTATAAAAGCAGAATTCACAGAATCCATTCCTACCATAAATTGGTAAATTTATCATTGTACTGGAAATTGCTAAGTTCCTGTAACATGTAATATATTCAAAATAATTATAATATCGTTATATCCATATTACTAAGATATATGTAATTATATTTAAATATTCAATATAGCTAAAATAAGACCAGAATCAAGAATAAAAAAATTATTTGATGTTTTATTTATAACATTTATAAAGATCAACTAAATTACCCCTGACATCCGGCAACACTTCCATGCTCAGATATGCTACATATGTTCAATCACTTATCTTGCATATACAGTCGCAAATAACATAAGTATAACATGTGAACAAGAATTAAACATTGCAACTATGCATATAATATACAAAAATTACTAAAGAATAATCATTCTAGAAACTTCACTTTTGCTTGGTAATATAGTAGGTGCATAAATAAAGAACCTATCTATATACAAATTAATACAAATTACAAGTTAATTTTTAATGATAAATTTGAAAATATAAGATAATCATCGAATGTTTAAAAAATATCAGTGGATAGACAAAAAATATAGAGACTAACATTTTCACTTGATGTTCCCCGAGATGGTAGTAATTTATGTAGAAAAGTCCATACGATCAAATTAGAACGACTTAAGTGATGTAGAAATTCCATTGATATCAAATATACCTTTTCAATATACTTATACATTACGAGTTTACTAAATGTATCTGTAATCGAATTAGATCTGATACGAAATAATACTAAAAATTTCAATAGCAGAGTGCAAGGTATTAAGGGGAGAAAGAAGATAGGAATCGAATTGTAGTTCAAAAGAAAGCGAGATGATTTCCAGTACGGTAATCATCCCCTTGCGTAGGATTATAACGCATTTTATTTTATTTCGTTCGAGTGAAACGAAATAATTAAGCTAAAATTAGCACAGAAGATTATTTTAAAGAAATGTATTACCCACCTGTGGAATATAAGAAGCTATCGAAAATATGGCGCAATAATCCGCATCTAATATCAGGCACACAACATCAAAAGCTCGTTCTTTCATTGAACATTTATTTAAAATTGATTCAAAAACGTCTCCTGGGTCGCATGCAACAACAAAGAAAAGAAAAAATATACTATTAGCACAATTCATTGAGGGAGGAAAGCTATGAAGTTTAGATATTTGTAAGCAAAGCTAACTGAATGAAATGAATAAATTTCAAGAATGTTATGAAAACGTGCCGTGTGAGATACATATTTTTTTCAATATTTTGCATATTAGTTTTTAGTAAAAGCTAATACTTACTTTGCAAGTTTCATTCGGTGTTCAAAATTGAGCGAATTTTAGTTGAGCAGTCGAGTCTGTAAGCGCAAATGATATATCTATGTTTTTCGCATCATAGTCATTATGTAAAAGCATTAAAAATAACGAATTTTACTAGATTCGCGGTGTCTATCAGATACATACATACAGTTACTCACAAAATTAAGCGTGCAACATTAAATAATACTCGTAGTCGAAGATCTATGAGGCACTAAACTAATGGAGGCATATGGATTTTGATGAACGAAGAAAATAAATGATGAGATAAGTAACAGAGAAATGAAAAGTTTGGGAAAAATAATATTCTAATCTAATTGTGTAATCATCGTTTATATTTTTAATGAACTTCTAGTTAAATATTCAATATATATAAAGAGAGAGAGAGAGAGAGAGAGAGAGAGGGAGAGCATACGTAATTACCGGTAATATTGATCAAGCTGCGCTTTTTCTATCCTCTTGTCCTTGGCACGACGATTTTGAAACCAAATTTTTATCTGCGTTTCCGTAAGGTGCAGGGATGTAGCAAGTTCAAATCTTCTTCCTCGGGAAATATATTCTCCCCTACGATATTCGACTTCCAATCTCAATGTTTGTTCCCCGCTGAAAGTAGTTCTTTGCCTCCGTGGTCGTCCTTCCTTCCTCCTTTTCCTAGCTACTGTTCAATCCAAACGAGGGAATTTTTTTTAAAATAATATTTTTCAATGCGTGTTAAAACGTATATTTTTTTTCACGTATAATTAATATACCATATAGCTTGTTATTCTTTATATAAAAAAAAAAAAAGAAAAGAAAAGAAAAGAAAATATTTAACCTACTTATGCGAAAAATCTATTCTTAATTTGTACATTAATTTCAGTATTTTCGCAGAATATAATCTTCATTTGGTGTATTTCATTTCTACTTTTTTTGTTTTTCATTTAACATGCTAGTGATTCTCGGCAGCCTTGCCGTGACAACGGCTTAAGGGGCAGGCGAATAACACTGGGTTTGCAGAAATATAACAAGGTATATTTCACATTGAAATGCGGCCAACTGCGTCCAGTAATCTCATCACAACATCGGTACGAGGTGGCGAAGCGGAATAAATCCATTCAAACGTGTGCGTATACCTGTATTGTGTTATATTGTACATGTTTGCTGTAATAACACTTATCAATGAAAAGCTTTAGGAAGTGAATAAAATGTTGAAATATGTATTACCGACAAATTATCGGAGTATTTTAAGGATTTCAAGGAACGTGTAAAAACTGAAACAAATGCTTCTCGTTAATCTTCGTTAAATCTTCAATGATAATAACTACCGGCGCACAGTGCATTTATGCGAATGATACGTCTGTATACTGCCGTTTGCTATTTCAATTTAGTTTGACAATGTGGAAATTGAATTTTTTTTTTTTGAAATTTGATTTCTTCCTTCCCTTTTTTTGAGAAACATCGTGGCAAACAATCGGATACAAATTCTTTCTTTCTCTGAGAAAACTCGTGATTTGAAAGTTTCTTTAATATTAGTATCTGATTAGAATGCAATCTATCTCATTTCCACGCGATTTTTATGCGATTTATTTCATTTCTTCAATCTGCAAGATTTCACGGTATATTGTATTTAAATTTTAAATATCGTTTCCGATAGTATAATCTGGAGTATTATAATTTCGAGAATATTTATGGAATTAGAAGAGTGATCATAAGGGAATGATTTTTAGGTAATCGTCATTCGGAAAATGTACAGGGATACGAAGAAGTTCGAAAATTCGTTTACGTTAAGATATATGATGCTGAAAATCCTTTTGTTAAGATAGATGTTGATAACAGTTTAGAATTATTATTAATTCTTCAGTTGAGTTTGAACTACTATTTGTAATGATAATTTTTAATGTTAAAATACTACTTACAGAAAGCTGAGAATCCTTGCAAATGGTGTTCCGTGGTTGGGAAATACGGCAAATTATGAAAATGTGGTGGAAGCGCAGACGGATATGTAACTTGAGATAAGAATACAGGATTATTAACCGGCCCAGATTGATGGAGCTCATGAAACAATGGTAATCTTAAATTAACAAAATTCGAGGTCTTTTCTTTCTCGTTGGCTAACGCGTTTGTTTCATTGTTATTCTGTTTTTCGCCTCGTTCCGAGGATCTTTCTTTTATGCTCATTACCTGCGCGAGAGATTATGATATTAAATTCTAAATCGTCTCTTTATATTAATATCTTAAGAAAATTTTATTTGTTAGTACATAGACTTCGTCTTGTCGAAGTTATATATTCATCAGTATTTCATTTAAAGGCAAAGTATTTAATGCAGCCTCTATCTCGAAGTTTTATATAATGAAAATGTACTATGTGAACATTAAATCTGTCATAACATAGTTTGGAAATTCTGATATACCTAATTCCACAGATTTTTTATTGCTCTTCAGTGATTACTTAAAATTAGTAAATATGTACTTTCGATACTATAGAGAATTCTCATTTGAAGTTCACGATCGTGAAATTTATCTACGATCCTAAAGGAGCTTGAGATCATAAACAGATTGTACTTCTTAGAATTTGCAAATGTAGGCTATGACAGTTAATACATTAATATTGAAGAAAAGCGTTTGAAAATGAAAGCAACTGTGAGTCTAACGTTTTTATTATGAAAGTATCGAAACGATGTAAAAGAGGCTTCTATACGTAAGAAAAGTTATTTCTTACTTGTATAACTTCATCGGTTGAGGAATTGCACGAATTGTCTGCATCTAACGTGTTTCTATTGTACAGAAGAATATTTGAAGTAAAGTCGAAGCTCGATTTCGGCTTGGGTTTTTCTTCGTTATTATCGGTACCATCAACCTTTTTCGCTTCGAGGTGTCCATAAATTCGTGCAAAAAACTGTCGTGGAGATGATGGCCCTTCTGCTTTCGTCGACATTTAGTCAAATTCTATCGACACGTTCCAAGTTTTCAAACTAAAAGTCTAAGAACTACAAACGGCACATATTAAATATATCGTGATATATATCGTCATCTTTATCCTTATCATTTTATATCATCGTTCATTTTATCCTTATGTTCCACTAACACGTCGATTGACGTTAAACTTGTCATTGCACGTGAAATTCATTTGACTTGTCGTCAGGAGAATGAAAAGAAAGTCGAAATTAAAATTTGTGGATATTACAAGTTCTTCATCGGCTTTTCGACGTCACTTTAAATCTTCCTATCCTAGGCGTAGCGTGTAAGTTTGTAAAGTTCACGTACTTGCACATCTACTGTCTATCCTCCACAAATGTTCGGTATGAAAGTTGTACGTGAAACAAATATGTAACAAATAAATATATAACATTGTGCTGAAACTTAAAAGAAAGTGCACGTTTTTGCGCACGCGCGTGTACGTACGTGCAAATAGGATTCACATAACAAGTAAAATAGTTGGAACACTTTTGATAGACACTCGCATGTAAAATACCTCGAAGAAGAGCACCGTATCACTCGGCACGAGGTTGCAAACGTATCTGAGTCCGTTCGCTTGCAACGTCCATTCTCTCGCTTCATGGTTAATATGAAAATAGAGAGAAGGGATGTTCGGTGCTCGTACTCCCTACCCCATGGATGTTCCCCACTATGCGTGGTGTACCACCACCCATTCCTTCGGTCTCAGATAATTTTGCTGTCATCGTTGTAACCGCCCCTTTGCGAAAGAACACCTGCAGACATTTGTGGCCAGCCGGAGAGAAACCGACTTTATTATTTCTAATTGCACCGTGAAATTTCAATACGTGCTAGTAAGCACGTGATTGAGCGGTAAATAATTTTAGCTGCAGATCAGTAATATCAGTAAATTTCGATGATATCATTTAGTAAAAGTGTAGATGTTACTTTCAAGAAGAAATAAATTAAACAAACTACTTATCTTTCTCTCACGTTTCATATTTTGCTGAATACTTTAGTGTTGAATTTTGTTATTTGTACTTCCATTTAAATGATGCACGTAGATGAATGATAGCGATTCGTAGTGTAATTTCGCGAAAAAATGGCTTCCAATCTATTAGATATTCTATTTCGATGTTGAGAAGAATCCGAAAGGATTAAAAGCTATTAAAATGATTCTGCATTTGATTTATATGAATATATGAATATTTCAAAGTCTATTATCTTCTCCGTCTTTTATATAACTTTTAATAACATCAGTATCTATAAGTCATTGTAGTTAGAATAGAATTTCGGCAAGTAGGCTTTCCTATTAAACATGAATGATCTGTGAAGGGTATGAATATTAATCTCGCAGTTCATATCTGGTGCATTTACGGTCAACCGCACATTGAACAATCTACACTGGAATTCTTTTCTCATCCATCAGTCGAAGATTTCAACCCTCGAGGGAGATCTCCGGCTTCTTATCATTACGTATCATTGCTTCATTTTTCGTTGGTATTCTTTCCTTAAATCACATATACAGTGGCTCATTTCTTATTCCTATTCTTCCTACCACGCTATGTGAACTTTAAATTTGAGAGAATAATTTTCCAAATACTCGCCATTGAAATTCTCTCATGATTATTATATTTCTTTCTATGTAATATTCTAATATTCTAATATTCTAATATTCCAATATATATATATAATATTCTAATATTCTATTCGAACTGTAACATATTTGCTTTAATTTAAATAATAATTTGAAGAGTCGTAACATTTATATAGGTATGATAGATGTGTTCAGGATTGTCCATATACTTTAAACACAAATTCATGTGACTCGGGTAGAAAATATGCTCCGAATATTAATTATTTGACAAAAAGAAAGTTATTTTCATTGTTGTAGAAATAAAAATACCCTAAGTTTTTCGTTTTCGGGCTTAAAATGAAGGGCCAGCACCCCAGTGTTGTATCCACTGTTTACATTAAAATGCAACTACAACGAGATACAAAAATATGAGATGACATAAATAATGATATAATGCGTAAATATAAACAATTTTGATCTTTATTATTTAGTTAAACCGTGAAATATCCCGTTTCAGTCACAAGTGTGCATGAACGAACCAATATCCCGATAAAATGGTAATAAATACGTTTATTAACTCAAATAATTATATGTTCATCAAGCAAAATCGTTGTATGAATTTGCAATAATCATAATGTTAACAATAGAAATCACGCAAAGGAAATTAGAGATAGCTCAATGTGAAGCTGGACATACGCATGCGCGTCTTCAACGAATTCTCGTTGGTTCTTCTATAATTACATTGATTTCCATCTCGTCCCCGATTGGTTCGAAATCGGACTACCATTATATCACTCCACCGACGAGTTATTCCGATAGGTAATGCTTACGCACCTAAAACAATCCAGATTATCATCGCAATATAGACAAGGTCGTTATTCATTGATGTTCGTGGTTAGCATTGTCTATCAAAAATTGTTTCTTTCTCGCCTTGCTTTCGAATTTTATTCGAAATGCCTCCTCTCCAACTGTTGTTGCATCTAATAAGATGTCAATTATTAACAAAACGTCCGGTACATAAAAATTAAAATCAACAAAACGTCAGATATTATACAGCCGAATGTCAGATTCACCTTTTTATACTACGCGTTCCTTCATTTCGTTTCGTAGGACGAAGAATTTCATTTCCCTTTTAAGCACTACAACAAATTAATGGAGATTCTTTCAAAGGACTGTTTATGTTAATATTAATTACGTGAAACGTCCTTTATGTACATGTTGCTTACATAACTGACCTATTTTCAGAATCAATCTTCCCAAAGTCGAAGTTTCGGTCGTAAAATACATCGTATCATATTTGTTACTTTTTTACGCAGAACTATCTCTTTCTGTTACATTCTACTTCGTATTTCTTCTTTATACTTCTTGAGCAAAATTTTCTAGTGCCAGATCTTTTACATTCTTTATGCTGCATCTCCTGAACCTTTAGGAAATCGTAATCTAATGGAATTTATAATTCCTAAACAGTATATCAACGATTGACAGATAGACACTAATATGAAAAATAATACTAAACATAAAGTAGAACTTTTCCTTTTGTCTAACTAGTGAACGCGTTTTTATTAATTTTTCTCAGTTGAAATTATAGACAATACGTCAATTTATGTGCATAAAAATTCTTCAAATATCGAATCTAAATTAGTATATGAAAATATCTGCATTTTCTATGATTTCCTTTCTTGTTAATTGATTCATTCTTAATGTAGATTCGCTCATAAGCAAATACCACTGGTGTGTCTGATCAGTAAGGGAAGTTTCTACTTCGGAAATTACTTGTTGCATATTCATCAGTTTCAATATTCAAATGTTTTACTATTACCTGTTGCTCTAATTTTAATTATGATTGAAATCAGTTTTCCAATTCTTCATCCTTATTTCTGAAGATTCTCTTAATACATATTTGTGTTATCAATTCATTTCTTCATATATAAAATAATAAGAGGTTCTATTTACTATTCTAGTAAAAATAACATACCAATCTATAAATGTACGATATATAAATATAATGAAAATAAATTTTGTAAAACGTATAAGTTGTAAAAAAATTGTTGCCAGCATCATCCCTTGTGGGGATCGAACCCACGACCTTTGGATTAGAAGTCCAACGCGCTATCCTCTGCGCCAAAGGGACTTAATACAATGAGTCTTCATAATATCACACCTATACAAAAAATTTTTATTATAAATTTAATTTTCATTATAAATTGTTTTTTAATATTTGATTTTATAAAATTGTAAAAACAAGAATGAAGATATTCAAAAACAAATCTAAAATATTGAAAATACATTCTAATCCATCATTATTATATTATTAAGTGTCAAAACATATAAAACAAAAACTTCAGATAATATAAATTGTGAAGGAACAAAAACTTGTATAGGTTAGTTTCAAATAATTCATCGCTGTTTTGTGTCAAAATGGGAAATACATATAAGATTATTATTTAATATAACCTGTATGTCGAGATGTTACATACATATATAAGTCAAATATGTAAGTTATGTGTGCATGTTATGTCAATAAATAATGTAATATAAATTGATATCATACCTTATGGAAAGACTATTAATTATGAAACTAGATACATATTTGATAACTAGATATATATTTGACAATCTTAAAAAATAAATTTTATAGCAATGGGATTAAAGGATCAGTGCAATGCCCCCTCCTCTCTAAGGCAGGTTGCCTTATATTTGTTTATCCAAAAGGGGTTGCCATGTCTCAGGGGCATTTTAGTTAAATCAATATTTAATAAACAATTTTTTAATTTTTTATTTTTATTTTATAGGTAAATAGATAGAATAAATCGAAGAATCATTAAGTCAAGAAAATTAAAGAGATATCAATGCGTTAGTAATAAGTATACCGTTTTGTGAATTCCAATTCTTTATAACTTTTAAACTTATAGCACAGACGAGACGTATCTTGTCTTATTATTTCAGTTAATTATTTTTGATAACTTTTCAACCCATTTAGTAGACATATAAGACATTTTATTTTTATTATTAGCGAAAAAATTTGAAAATACTTGGAAATTAAAAGGAAAATATTTTGTTCAACACTAAATAAAAATAATAACAATCGAATACAGCAATGTATAGGAAAAGAAATTTGAAAATTGTATAAAAATATATATTTTAATTTCCACACTAATTCCGTATTTTACCATTGTATGGCAGCACTTTATTTGCATGTAACTCTCGGTCGATAAACTGAAAATTATAAATCTTTTATGTCGTAATAGTTCTTACGTAGAAATTTTCCATACAAATTTTATTATTGTTAAGTTATTTAATTAATTTCTTAAATGAAAAATTAATATCAAATGATCGTATTATGGAAACTATTAATTTAAAGTTTTAACACACTTTGACAAATGATAGGTTACGAAAGAAGCAGTGAAAATCGTAGTGTATCTATATACGATGACAACATACAGAGTAGTGCTGTAGAAATTTGTTATTGTGTGATAAACACCATTTTCATATTTTTCATATTTTATATGTTTGTGTTGTGTGACAAACTCGACGTTTATATATAGAATAAATTTACACAAAATTTGTTGTTATATATGTATATGTAAAATGGAAATATTAAAACAACGGCAGGTAAACATTTACTTTTGACTTTTTTCTTTGTTTTATTTTACAATTTTACATGATTTACATGTATGCAATAATAATCAATTATTATTTTGTTGCTAACACAGACGATTTTTCGTCTAAAGAGAATATTTACTTTTTGTCATTTAGAACATTTACATTGATGTCAAATTAATGTTAACATATGACAATAATTACATTACATTTAGGTCTTGGAATACTTATGATTAGTATTAACAGCTTTATATTGTAGGTTGTTTTATGCTTAGTTTAAATATATCATTTATAAACTTTTTCTTGTAAGATTTATTATTTTATAAAAAATTAAAGGTTAGATTTTATATGTAGATATATTATTTTAGAAAAAAAAAGAAGGAAAGATTAAACTTTCTATAGAACAACAGATACCAGATGTTCCAACGTTGGAAGAATTCGAATGTCTTCTTGAAGAATCTCCTACAAATTATCCAAAGGGAGAAGGTATTGAAAATATGGAAAGTGAATTACATTCTGCTGCAATTGATACTGAACTCTATGAACAACAAACTATTCAATCAATTACAGAGGAAACAGAAGCATTGCAAGCTTCAAATATCAAAGTATTTTAATAACATTTTTCATATATTCTTTTTTTTTGTGTATAAATATATACATATATATATATATATATATATATATATATTTATTTATTTATATATATATTTATATACATACATATAATCATATGTTTTTAACAAAATTTTAGGATGAAATTGATGGCAAAATTAGGAGTGATTTGACATCATCGTGTAATAATTTAGAGGGAAATATAGAGAAAATAACAACATCAATTTCTACAATGGAGTTAGTTGATAAGTCATCTGATGCCCTTAATGATGAAACTGCAACGCCAAATTCAGTTCAAGTTACTTCAAATATATCAAACTCAAAAAATTCTACTAATGATAAGCAAACAAAAAATCAGTCAGATTCTATCATAAATCAAATAGATGATATGCATACACCTTTTAAAGAAATTATACCTTTTACAGAGAGCCAATTAGCATCATTATATGTTAATCAAGAATTGGCATTGATTGATGTGTTTATTTCAGAATTTACAGAAATACAACTTAGAAGTAGTGCAATTAAACAGCAACACAGATTGCACGAGCTTTTAATGAATTATCTTCGTGTAAGAAATCATTTAATTATCAATTCTCATGAGTTGGAAATTTTAAGAAAATCCTGTAGAGAAATGCAAAAACAATTATGGTGTTTAGATAAAGCCTGTATTAGAGAAGCAGGAGAATGTCAAGATGGAAATCCTGTTGTTGCTACACATGAATATTGTACTGCACGATTTAATCACCAAGCATTGGGTGCATTAGCTCGAAATTTATCAACAATAAAGGATTTATTACACAACACTCAAGCTCTATATTGTTATGAAGCAGAAATGTTGAAGTTACAAATTGAGTATTATATTCAAAGAGTTTGCATATCTTGCAAAGAATTTACCAATCTTCCTCATAATGCATCTGTAAATTTATTACCATTGCATGTTCCTTCACAAACAATTCCACAATTAATGGAAATTAGGATGTGCATTACTATATTGTTTAATTTTCAAAGAAAATTATTAAAAGACGGAAAATTTGTAACAGACACTAGAGAATGGCTTACAAGATTAGTAGCAATTCTATTGAGAGTAGCAACTTGGCAAGATCATTTATTTTTATTGAATCATATCTTGAGATGTCCTGGTGGGGTAATGAATTGGGCTCGTAGTTATGTTCAAACTCCTATACCACAACAATTTGGTAAATTAGGTGTATCTCCATTAAATGATCCATATTTAGATCATATAATAGCTACATTGGCAGTTATCCTATTACCTGTTAAAGACAGAGATAAATTTCTTGAACAGGTACTTGAATTTATTGTCAGATTTTACATTATTGCTAAATAATAATAATCTAATTCATGATAATGATTCAGATACAACAATCATTACAAGATACATCATATAGTCCAGGTGATACTATTTGGGTAATATTGGATGAAGAAGGAGAAGAAGATGAAGATATAGCTAATATTGGCGCAAACCTATTTGAAAGTGACCTTATTTCTTTACTAAACCAAATTCCTTTTAATAAAGTATTTGAACAAGTGTTGTGTATTCAATATCAGAATGATGATTATCATCAAAACAAAACTTACATTACACATCATCATTTGTTTCGAATGTTTGCGTTTTTTGCAACTGTTATTAGACTTTTAAAGCAAGGTTTGAAAACATATGATTCTCCAAGATATAGGCAACTGACCAAACGATTAAGTGCATTAATTAGAGATATTGTACAGTATGCTAATGACCAATGGGAAGACTTTGATAAAGATCAGGTAATATTATTATTTTGTTGAAGCGTATTTTAATATATAAAACTGAAATTATTTTTTATATAACTTCTAAATTTTTATTTTGTAGATCACTGATGCATCAGTGTTGATGAAACTTCAACTTGAATTTGATTGTTTTTTTTTAAGAGCAGTTTTATGCATATTTTCTTCACGTCGTTTAGGAGCATGGCAATATTTAGCTTCTATGCCATATCATTTAATATCATCCAATAACTTGTGGCAAATATATTACATTTTACACACTGATTGTACACAAGTAGACATGCATATTTCTAATAGATATATTCATGGTATGTTACAGTTCTGCAGTAAAAACAATATGAATGTTTTTAAAATTGATTATTGATAATATAATACTATATTATTAATGTTAAAGATTGGATAAATGAATTAAATTCTTCACAAGTTCGTGCAAAATTTGAAGAGAAATTAAGTAATATGCCAGGAGACGAGTCATATTTTCTTTTAACCACTTTTGCTAATATGGCTTTGGCAAGAGCTGACAAAGATTATGATTTTGTAAAAACAACAACAATAGATCTGTTTCAAGTATGTATTATTATCTATATCGTGTATAATTTGTGAACATTTAAATATAATAATAATTTACAGATAGGATTTCTTAGTGAAAAAACACAAGATTCTTGTTCAAAAGATGCTCGATCTCTATTATCAAATTTAACAAATAAACATCCTTCGTTGTTATCAGATATCTTGTTAAAGTTACGAGATAATTTTGTATCAGCTGGAAAGGTATGAAAAATTTCTCACACTTCCTATAAATAAACTTAAATATCTAAATTTAATTTTATAATTTTAGTTAAGTTTATATCTATTCACTGACTTAAAATTACATAAGTGGGTACCACATGAAAAAGATATAGTTATTCTTTCTACATGGTTGGATCAGTATTCATTAACATCAACTGAGAATCATTTAGCCCGTTTAATTCTTACTAATTTAAATTGGGGATTTGATGAGTAAGAACATAGATTTTAATTTATTATAATTAATTTATTTAATATATAATAAATTTAATTTAGTTTAATTAAGTTTAATTTCTATATTTATTACAGGAGTGGTAACTTATATCTTCCTATTGATTTACATAAACGCATAGCATTATTAACTGTCGAGCTCACTATGAAATATGTACCTGATTCTTCTGTCCAAAATACCTCTTTATTGGTAGAAGGTGTTAAACAGGTATAATATAAAGATTTTATACCAATATTTATTTAACAAAATCAATTTTAACCAAAGTTATATTGAAATTTATAGGTTTCAACAATGATAAGACCTCAAACTGCTGAACATATTTTTTCATTATGGGCGTGGGATATGATTTCTAAATTTAGATTACATCAACTTGATCAAAATGAAGCACATTGCCATTATGTACTTTCAAACCCCACTGTGGCATTTGCTCATGTACCAGACATGGATTCTGATTCATGTTTAGAAATTTTGATAACTGGTACACGAGAAAAGCAACCTATTGCTTGTTATGTGGCAACGATCATGACGTTATGGGGTCATTCTATACCTTTAATATGTTCAAAAGGTTTTGCCCAATTAGAAATATTACAATATCATTATAAATATGAACAAGTGCTTATATGTTTGCATCATATAATACCATTATTTTTGGAATGTGTTGATTCATTACTTAAGAATGATAAATTTATTAGTCTCATTATTTCTTTAATTGCGGCTGATAGAACCTATATGAAAGTGGCTAAAAGCCTTATAACATCTGATTTTCCAGGAACAATATTAAAACAATTTTCAAATATGATACATTCACATTTATATAATTATAAAAAGTAAGTAAATTTATTTAATGTTAATATTGGACGATAATATTTTATTTGTAAGATAACATAATTTGTTATTTGTATAGATATCGATTACAGACACCAAAAGATTTTGTATATCTATGGTTAAGTACACTTGTACTTGTACCAGACTGGAATAAAGACCAAAATGTAATGTATTTAATGGATATAGTCATCAGTACTGCATTTTTTTATGCAGATGCAAAAATAACAGTGGAGCACATGTTTCAGAATCTTTTCTCTGTAAGATCAACTTTTACGTTTTATTGGATTTTTAATTACATTAAATAATCAGAAACATTAAAATATTTTCTGGAAATAATTTAATTAAATAATTACATTAAATTTATTTATTAAATATGCTGTTATAACATATCTAACTTATTTAAATTTCAACTTTACTAATTGAGATAATATTTCTGTAACTTATATTACTGAGAAAGTATGTCCATTTTACTAGCTTACGATAGAGGAAAATAATGAGGTGCGATTTTTCCTTTTATTTAAGATATATGTCAATTTATTTTATAAAACTAATTTAATTTTATTTATATAAAAATATGTATAATATTTACATTGTATTTATATAAAATTTAGCTACAATATAAAAATTTATTTAATGATTTTTCAGACTATGTCTAATCGCAATGTGATGACATCATTTGGATCATTTTTAAATTGGGCAACTGGTTCCTCAAATTCGGTCAGTCTTTTAGGAAAATCTACTCAATCTGTTTGGGTTGCTTATCAAGTATTGTTAACTGAACAATATAACAGAGAAATTAAAACTAAACTATGGCATGAAATTTTAAAGGAATTGTCAGTACAACCTAAAATATCATTAGATACTGCTATTAAGGTATATTTTATATGGTACTGCATATAATTTTTAAAATTCATATATAATATATACACACACACATACATATATGTATGTATGTATCTAATATTTTTTAGCGAGCTTGTGCGACTGTAAAAATGCAATCATTTGGAGCAAATGGATTATTTATATATCGTTGGTCACAGCAAGCATTAGATACACCTATAGGACATCCTATTCTTCCTCTTTTATGGCAAAACTTCTTTGCTTTATTTCTTGCAAGAGTTCCGTCAATGTCAGGGTTCGTTTTATAAAGAAAGAATTTACATTTATATAACATATTTTACAGAAATAAAAATGATAATAAAACTATTTTTTTAGAATTGTGGATCATGGTGGAATTGGTGAAAAATTTTTTGAAGGCATGATTAATTTAAGTTATTTAAAAAAATTAAAAAAACGATTGCACGATACTACTACATATTTTCAATTAAAAGGAGAAAAAGATTTAGATAATGGAAAGCCAATCACTGATGACAGACGAGCATTTTATTTCAATGCAGCAAAGTATGTAATATTAAATGTACTAAAATTTATGAGAAAAACATTACAAATCTCTGTTCTTACAGATTTTATAAGACTTTAAGTTTGTGGCTTGAAGAACCCAGATTACAGGAACCAGGTCTTTATTTACCAGCATTACCGCCACAATACATGTCACAAAAATTAGTATTACTCGTTCAGGACAATTGGGTAAATTTTAATCTGTTTATTATACAGTATGTAATAGAACATGACTGATTATATCTTTTTTTTTCTTCGTAATAGACACCATGGTTAGAATATATTGATTATTGGACAGTTCAGCAAAATCAAATAATAGCAGCTCAAGAATGGGAACGTACATGTTGTAGAAATCAAGAAAATTATTATCAAAAAGGAAGAAATGTATCAATCTCGTCTTCTGAAATTGTTGGACCATTACAAAGAATATTTAAAAGATTAACTACATATGAGTATCCTGTTCCACCTCCACCCTTAAATCGAAATCAAGCAGTTTTTAATTCTGTATCAAAAGAGAATATATACAATTCTAAATCATTAATTGATCTCGTCAAACCATATCTTAAAATAATATTAGACTATGCTCAGACATATAATTTAATGGTTTCTGAGCATATTGCAGTAGATTCTAGTTTTCTGGAACTAGTGCCTACCCTTTATAGAGAAAATGAGAATCAAGTAACGTTGCATGCATTGTGTGATCCAGCTCCTCCAAATCAGAAATATTCTAGATCAGGAACACCACCCACTGTGCACTGTGCTGGTCCAGCAGTAATTATAGTTAAGGTAATAATAATTACTTATTCTTTTAATTTTAATTTTAAGTTATTTTTGAATTTATAAATTTATGTATTTAGGTACCTGAAGCTCACATTAGCGATGCTGTTGATCATACGATAACACAAAACAGAGCTGAATATGAAAATTTGTTGATAAAAGCCAGTCAGCCACCATCTAGTAAAGTTACTCAAGGATGTGTATTTATAGATCATTTAATTGCGTATGTATAACACATATTACATCTTGTATATACATAATAATATGTAAATATATTGTTATTCGTTTTAGAATGCTGGAACACGAAATAGTTATAAATCGAACAAATGAAAACGCTACAGCATTGTATAAAATTCAAGAAAGTGGAGTAAAATTATTTTATTACCTTGTAGACTGTTATACAGAAGAAGCATCATTTTGTCCACCAACAAAACAACTTCTTACTACTTGTTTAGAAAAATTAGGACAGGTGCGTAAAAATTCAGAGAAATAATTTTAATACATTAATACATAGTGTTAATTTTAATAGTCATTTATTAATGGGGAGGAAACTCAAGGTCCACAATTATTAAGCACCATTATGCAGAAACAAAATCTTGGTGGTTTACTTGGACCTTATTTTACACCTGTTGCTGGTAGTGCTTCAACATTCCTACAAATGTATGAAACTGTTGTTGAATTTTCTACGAGTACAAAAGTCGATCTTTGTTTTGTATTATTATCAAAAGTACGTCGTTTATTATTCTTTTATTTTTACGTATCTGTATAATTCTTACATTAATTTTTGTTTTAGTTTGATGTAAAAGTTTGGTTAAATTATAAACGTCCAAGATTAAGCGAACGATCAACGTTCATTGATTTGGTATCTAGAGCTCTTTGTAATATGGGTCTTAATCCTGATGAAACAAAGCTGGTACTACATGAGGTATTTATGTATTAAATAAATTTCACATATGATATATATATATATATATTACAATATAACAATATTATAATAATAATTATAATAATATTATAATAATAATCTTTACAATATATAACAATCTTTATAATATATTACAGTTGATAACAATTTTTTTATAGCTATTTAGGAATCATCTACGATTTATATTACTACATGAATTTCCTGAACATTATGGAGAAGTTTTAAGTGTTGTATTAAAAAGTAGTGAAAGTCAAAATTTATCATTAGATGTTTGGCGAGATTTATTAGGGACACTCAGTGGCAAATCAAAAAACGCATTTTCAAGTCATTCTAAAATTAGAGATGAGATTCGTCATTACGCTACTGAACAAAAGCTTCTTTCTCGACAAGAGGTCATAAAATATCTCATGTTTGTTTTTAATTTGGAATTTTTTACGTAAATTTGAAATTGACTTATACATTCTGTATCTAATTACAGATATACGATACAGCCGTATTATTAAGTAGACATTTCATGCAAGAACGTTTACAATATGGTCTTTATGGACTGTATCCAAAATATAGAATTTACAATGAACCTTTAAGTATATTTCTTGGCATGGTGGGTCATGCTCTTGTTGCACTTACTCTCCAATCTGATAGAGGATCATTAGGAGACCAATGTAAGTATTTCAACCATACATTATATATGATACTTGTAATAGACATAATTATATTGTATTATTTAAAGTGTGTGAGAAAATATGGCCTATTTTAAGTGAAATGTATTCACCTTGGATTGCACCATATTGGACACGAAATTTAAAAGAACCAACTGCTGCATGGATTCAACAACTTACAGATGATCGATCTGTTTTATTACCATGGATTATTACAGACGGTCCATATGCTAATAAACTTGTAGCAATGTTTATTGAATGTGTTCGTTTTATTATCGATACATTGCCAGCATCTAGCAAGATACTCTGTTTCGTCTGGCAATTTTATGTTACCAATTTTGCACATGCTTCAGTTAAAGATCATATTTTAAACGTTATTCATGGCAACTTTTTATCATTGCCATGGGATCGTTTTTATCCATCTGTAAATGATGTGGAATTAATGGTAAAAGTAATTGATCAATATCTGCCAGATAGTCACTTATTCCTTGGAAGTGTATTTACGTGTGTACATTGGCCGTTTTGGATAAATGACTTATTAGCATCACAGTCATTAGCTCTTGTAGCAAGGATACATGTTTGTTTATTGAATTTATTAGTAAAATTATCCAATGAACCAAACGTTAGACAGGTAATTCATTATATTCTTCATATTCTCTATATTTATATATGCAGAGATTGTAAACATAAATATTTAATAAAATAATTAATATTAATTCAAAAATATATTAACATATATTTCAGACCGATAAAGTAACTCAGTTAATTATGGATGCGGAAAAATTTTCTTGGCATTTATTAGATGCATCTGCCTATGATCACATAATTAATTGGCATGTTATGAGCTGTGATTCAAGAGTTGTTCTCTATTCTCATAATGAGCAATGCCATTCTATAGATGTTGCTGTACATAAGTATGTATAATAATCTTATTTTATTATCTTAATTTTATTTATAGACGTTGTCTAACAAATATGATGTAATAGTTTGTTAAAGGTGGCAGCAGGCTATGATTCTGTTGTAAGTCATTTTCATCCAACTACATTAAAAAAGAGACAACTGTATATACGCTGTACAGTAAAATTATTAATTACTTGTACAACTCGATATAAACCTTTATTAACTACAAATCCAAAAGTATTTAATAATACGTTGTCAAAAATGTTAGATGATATGGAAGCTATTATTTTAAACAGTAAATATAATACATTTATATGATCTAAGTTGTACATATCTAGAATTATTGAAGAAGTATAATTAAAATAAAAAAACTTTAGCTGTTCCAGAACCTCAACAAATTGCAGAAGCAAGTTTATTAATTACTGAATTACTCTATGCTGTGAATCAACATGGAGTTCTTATGGAACATCTTCGCATTAGCTGGACATCGTGGCTTTTGAAAAGAACAGCTAGTAATCCAATTCTTCTAAGTATAATTAAAGTCATTGGAACAACAATTACTTCACCATCTGTACTTGGAGAATTAATGGAAGCTGCATTAGAAGCATATTTTAAATTTAATTGTATGTAAAACAAATGCAAATATATTCGCTTATACATTTTGTAACATTTTAATTCATCTTAGCAGCATCTGAAGAAGTTTCACCAACTTGGGCTTCAGTTTTAACAATTTTGCAATCAGTAATACCTCGACAACCACCATTGGAATCATTTTTAATTTCTGAGGGAAAACTTCTTGCTTTATATTTTATTTTATTAAAACGACTTCCATTATGTCAAGATATTAGGGAAGAAGGAGTACTTCTTATAAATTTAGTTGACTGGATTTCTGCTATTAGACCAACGTAAGTATAAATTATTAAAAAATTGTACATTAGTATATAATTACATTTAATTAAATATTTTTTATTTAGGAATATAAATGAAGAAAAATTACCTCTTCTTTGGGCTAAAATTTGTGAATTAGCATATAGACAATGTCAGTATAATGAAAACACTAGGACTGCTGCTAGAGCTCTTAAAGGTTTAGCACGTTCGTTATTAACAATTGCTGATGATGGAGGACAGGGATGGGGGATACTAGGAGCTATTGGCCTTAAGAAAAATTCCAATCTTTCAATAAGGTAACTTAAATAACACTTACTAAAATAATATGTAATTTATTTTGTCTAGCTTAAAATTTTTTTTATATTTATATAGATGCAAATTTTTAAGCCGTGTGATAGGAGTTTATTGTTTAGCTCAATTACCCGAATCAAAATCAGATCAACAGATAGTAAGATTTACACCTCAGTCACCTGGAGTAGCATTATCAAAAACAAATGAACCAGATATAATGGAAATTCGACCTAGTACAGAAGCTATAAAAGCTATGCAGGCTTTAGAAGGACTTTTATTAAATAAACAATATGCAACGCTTAAGGGAGATATAGAACGATCTATTAAATTAATTAGGGATCCTGCTAATTCTTTGCATAATGCAACAGCCATTCTAGGTGTATTGACAACAGAGCTTTACAATCAAAGATATTTGCATGTTTTGATAGATTAATATAATTTCTTTTTTTTTGATCAGATTAAAATGAAAATAATTAATAATTTTATATCTGTTAATTTGTATTTTTATTGTACAAATTGAAAGCAGCACTTTTTTTATGTAAGTATTGTAAGACAATTTTAAAAGATTTGTAAATTTCATGTAAATCTAGTCATAAAAGTTTGATTACATCTTGACAATTATTTGGATGATTATATAGTAATGACACTTTAAAAAAAAAAAAATATATATATATATATATTAATATATATATATTAATATATATATATATAAAACAATTTGTATAATATTACATGTTCTACATTTATATGTGCATTAAACGAATATGATTTGTGTATTTAAATATTTAAGCTATATAATAATCTTGTGATTGAAAATAAAATTAATAAATTGAAATTTGTTCTTTCAAAATGTTAAATGTAAAAATAGAAACGTTTAGAGAGACATTTGGAAATCCAAGCTTCAGAATGAGTTGAAATTGGACGATCTCGAAATTTTCAGTAAAATTCCAATTTTCAGTAAAATTCCAATCCCAATCGAATTTTAGTTCTGAATCTTAGATTCTACATGTATTATTTATATATATGTAAAAAATCTTCTGTTTTATTACTATTATAATTATTATTTAATGATTATTTTAGAAAACATTTTTGAATATCATATCTTTATTATATTAATATTATATTATTTATTCATATCGTTATTACATTTAATTACAATTTTTAATATAGTAGCCAGTTAGTTATATTGTATGGATAAATTGTATTACTTCTATTTCATTAATGTTTTTTTTCAGTTACTAATTAATAATACTATACATAGAAGAAGATCGTTGACAAACATAGTCAAAATATACGAATAATATGATGATCTAAAAAATATAGAAGAATTTCATTTGTCATAAATGATCTTACTATTTTTCACTTTTCTGTTAAATTTACTACGAATGATCAAAAAGTAACATTATTATTCAGAAGTTATTAAATTAATCGTTAGTTAACATTGACTCTGTCCATTAAAAATATATGTGCTTTTTTATAAAAATTCGTTATCTACACAATACAAAAGTTATTTTTGTATTATATTCATAAAAAATCTCATTGTTATATCTTAAATATTTTGTACACTCTCTCAAAAAGTTCACAGCATGAAGAATAAATTTGAATTGATTACACACTTAATACAATTATCTATGCAACATGACGTTTAATAATGATTTTTTTAACTCTGATGAAGACCTGGTCCATGAAGTTCAATGAAACTTTCCAAAGAACGTGGTACATTTCCACAATATGATAAATTGTAAGCGTTTACGACTTTTGCAGCCATACATTTTAATGATAATTTTGTTTGAGTCCTTAGTATTATTTCTGCTACACCTGTATAAAAATAAGATGAACTGATAACTATGTAAAACGTATTTTTTAATATTTTATATTATTTTTCAAATTTATTTAAACAGACCTGTAGTGACCGCATCGTACGGAGTCTTCCCATTACTATTAACTGTATCCATATGTGCTCCTGCTTCTATAAGATCCATAATAATGGAATGAAGAGTCATAAAATCACTGTAAAATTTTAGATATGTTACAGGAATATTTTTCATTAAAAAAACTACTTAATAAAATAGTAACAGTACAGTTAACTGTACCTAATAGGTTCCCTATAGCTAACAATAACATGCAATGGTGTATTCCTTTCATTGTCCATTGCATTTACATCAGCACCACAACATATAAGTAATTTAGCCGTTGCAGCGCAAGGAAATCTGTAAGATGTTCACAATATTGTATTTATACATATTGCATAAAGAACAAAAACTAAATTTCAGATTTCTTTTCATTTTGAAACTAAAATAATAAAAAAAAAATTGTTAATAATACTTTATTAATATCGCCTAATGCAAAAATATTAATTTGCAAGAATATTAAATTTCACTATTGTACTTTGAAAAAATATTCATAAACATACTTGCAAACATGATTAGTATGGAAATCATCTACTAGAGTGGCAGCATTTACAGCAAGATGCAGTAATGTTTGACCATCTTTTAGATGTAATTGTAGAGCACATAGTTTATGAACTAATTGATATGCCTTATTTTTATCTTGTTCTTCATATCTACTTTCATTCAATGTTAAAAGTTTTGTTAAAATTGTCAATATGTATAATGTAGTTGTAATATTTGATTCTATTTCCTCCTGTAATTTTTAATTTATAAAAATTATTTCATAATTTTTAATTAAACGTATAAATCAATTTTTTAACTTACAATATATTGTTCGATATCTTCTTCAGAATCAGGATTATTAAGTTTAGATTTATTACGACTAAGTTCTGTTACACAAGCTTCTAGTATACTTAAAACTTGAGAGAAATCAAGATCTACTCCTACATGTATCATTTGTGAAAATACCTACAAATAAAATTGAAGAAAAAAAAAGATAAGATACATATAATAAATTTATCAGAATTTTTTAATACGACTATTTAATGAAGAAAAAACAAATACCTGTGCAAACCTTAAAAGATCTTTCACAACTGATATATTGTTTAATTGTTTCAAATATAAAGCATGAAGCCAAAGATCTATACATCTATCAAATCTAGCACTATCTGCAAAAACTGCTCCTCTGAATATAATATGGTGTGGCACTTTTGGATTATGTTGACCTGATGTTAAAAAAAATTAAAATATGTAAGATTAAAAAAAATAAGAGAATTATTCTAATACTCTCAATACTTATTAAAGTTCAATTACAACCTAATATCCTTTCCCGAATAGCTAATGATTCCATATGAATAGCATTTTGATCATTTCTAATACTTTTCAATTTTTCTGGATTATCACATTCTTCCCAATTGTCATATGCTTTTATACTTTTACCTAATTTTTTATAAATAATATTATCTGAATCTCTGAATCTGTAATATTCAAGAATTTAATTGTTTCTAAATTGTATTTTTCTAAAATTAAATACTTTTTACCTGTGCTTCATTGCTTTCCATAAATATTTATAAGCTTTGGTTAAACAATAATTGCGTTCATCATTAGCGTAAGAAGCCCCAAGAAGCTCATATGCTTCAATTGCTTCTTCTCTACTAACTTCTACATATTTTATTAGATATTCTACAACTTCAGCCCTAGTTCTCTCTGCTGCTGCTATTAATGGTGTCATCCCACTAATATTTTTTGTCATGTTTGTTCCATATTTCAATAGCTCAGATACTATATTAGTATGTCCGCGTTCAGCTGCTAAATGTAATGCAGTTGTATCACAATTTGCTTTCTCATTTGGATTCGCACCTTTTTGTAAAAGAAAGGTCACCTGTTATAAATATAATAAAATTGCTGAAACTGACATTATAAATTAAATACATAATTCCATATTATTAAAACTATAATATTATACTTACTATATCTAAATGACCTTTATACGCAGCAATCATTAGGCATGTATTATTAAACTGATTTAAAATATTTATGTCTGCATTATGTTCTATTAAATATTTCACTATATCTAACCGTCCATCAAAACAAGCTGCTCTCAAAGGGGTAGACAAACTTTTAGTAGGATGATTGACATTAGCACCAGCTTTTACTAATATCTTCACAACTGTCAAATGTCCTGCACCAGCAGCACACCATAAAGCGGTTGCTTTTTCAATAACGTATCCATCAAATTTAACTGTCCCTTCCTGTTCCAAATCAGGCTTAAACTTATCAAGTAGTATTTTAACTACTTTATCACGGCCATATCTGGCAGCTATTATCAATGGTGTACAATGTTGGCCATCTTCTTCCAATACTTTTTGATTAATGACGAGATTCACCAGCTTAGGATCTTTACTACTGAGGAGATTATAAAGGATAATAGCCATACCATCTTTAGCAGCGTAATAAACACGCGTTAAAAATAATTGTGATATTTGCGTTGAATCCTCATTTAGTTTAATATCTTCCATTTCGTTAAATATTTATTCTCTAAATTCTTCTATTATACATCAAGCATGATACAAAAATAGATTTATACTAATATTCCTTTCTTGTTGAAATTTGTCGATGTCATTCTAACCTCGAAACCTTCATGACATACAGTGAATATTATAGGAAAGCCTGAAATTCCTTTCAAAACTATATAAATAATACACCAATAATCTTGTACATTAACAACATTCGATATTAAGTAATGTTATTTATTATTGTTACAATCACTGTTAGTTTTGCAACTTGCTTAATAATTATTTTCAGACTTTCAATACATATTACACTACAAGTTCTATTTTAAAATCTTTACTTCATTTTTTGAAAACATTAAACAGAAAATTGAAATAAACGCATGAGAATTGGAATATTTCTTTTTTTCTTTTTTTATTTATTTCAATAATTATCTTTACATAATGTTTGGATACTTTTGAATACGGTTACGATGAAATTTCAAACAACTGAACAAATGATATATCAATTTTTAAGTCTACAGAAACTTTTACTTATGTAAAGTTTGCAATTTATTACGATTCAAATATGTAGATATACATATGTTATTTTTGAAAGCCTTTCTAAGTAACATATAGCAATTTTGTAAAAGGTAATAATATAGTTTCAAGTTGTTTTTTTCTCTTCTTTTTATAATAGTTTCTACGGTAAATAATTAAAAAAAAAAAAAAAGAGAAGGATACATGATTAAACACTTTATTTTTATTATTTTTATTAATATGTCGAAAAATTCTCGTTGTAATAAAACACTCTAATTGACGTCAATGTTAAGAATATAACACAAATTTACCATATAAAATCTTAGAAACATAAATTAACCAATTCTATACAGGATGTCTCAAGATGAATGATACGAATAAGAAATGAAAAAATAAGTGGAAAAAGAGAAATGAAATTTTTTCTTTAAATTTTTCATTTTCGAGAAAATTGAGTTTGAAAATTTCTCAAGTATATTTAAATTTAGCTAATTCAGTGCTGGACAGGTGCGAATCAATATTTTATGCACAAAACTAATTGTAAATGTAGAATCAAAGTTTTTTATTCGAGGCGTCATTCTCAAGAAACTAGGCTTTGAATATGTTTCGTTAAAAATTGCCTTAGTAACTCAATATTTTCAAATTCGATTTCGAAAACGAAGGCTTTAATGAAAAATTTTATTCTTTCTTTTCGACTTGTTTTTTCACGTGAAATCATCTTCTACTCGATTATACCACCCATCCTGGAACCCACCCTGTATATAAATTTTAGTTTAGAGGGAAATTTGACGAGCATAATGTTTTATTTATATTTTATTCTCCGCATTGTGAAAAGTTTATTAGAATAAAGTTTATTAGAATAAACTCACTTTCTGGTGCATGTTAAATATATGTTAAATTGAAAATATTTGAAATCTCAATATTTAAAAATATCATTTCAAAGAATGAAAGTGAAAAAATGTTTTTCTTAACATTTTTCATTTCTCTACTTCATCACCTAATTAGAAATGAATAACAAATAGTATAATTTTATAATTTTTATCAATCCGAAAGTATTAATTTCTCAAAATTGGTAAAAGAAAATATTAGAGCAAGTTTATGAGTTCGTGGTCTTATAAAGAAAATTAGTAACTTTCAGTTGGCAATAGTGCAACTTTTGCAATAATACTTTTAAACAAGTAAGAAAGTTCGGTTTAGTAACTTAAAGTAATTTATAGTTTATGTTCTTTTATTTTACTTTTTTTTATCTTAATTTCTAATTATACCAGTTTATTTCTTTTCATTATAATAATGATTACACGTTCTAGATCTGAAGTAAAGGTATCAACTCTATATTATTTGTTATTATGTTTATTGTAATATATATACATATATCTAATACCAGTGTTTTAACATTAATAAAAGATAATGAATCTATATTATAAGAATTGCTTGGGAATTGTTTTATTGGAGATTTAGTAGTGTTATTGATATTGATCATCCTAATGTATCTAACCTTAATTCTTTGTTGATATTTATACTTTGATTTATGAAAAAATGATTATAATGTATCTATAATGTAATTATATTGTATATATATAATGTATAATATATAATGTAATATATAATGTATCTATAATGTAATTAGTATTACTTTTGTAATTAACCAGCAAGATAATCATATTTTTTTCGCTATTTTGCATTCTTTATAAAATTAAAATTCATTAATATATCAGGTTATATATGTTAATCAACTATAACTAAAATTTTATTATTAATTCTAAATGTTCTATCAGGCATCATTAGAGAATCCTCCAAAGGAAGAATTAGAAGTACCAGAACTCTTGCCAATTATATTCAATGGACATATTAATTATGTCAGTGATTTTAACGAATGTGCTATGATTTGTGATGATCTTATGTAAGACTTACACAATTTGACTCAAAAAGAAAATATAACTCTCAAACATATATCGAACATCTTATTGTAATTTGTTTAGAACAGAAGTAGAAAAGTCTGATAGAGAAATACCAATAGGATTTGATTTGGAATGGCCCTTTAGTTTTCAAACTGGATCTGGTAAGACAGCTTTAGCACAAATTTGTCTAAGTGAAAAGGTCTGTTATCTATTGCATATATATTCGTTTACAAAATTGCCTGCTGCATTTGTGATCCTCTTAAGCCATCCAAAAGTGAGATTAGTTGGAGTTAACATAAAAAAGTAAGTTAATTAATGAAGCGTTATTGTAATAAAATTTATACATTATTCATGATCTGTTTATTTATAGCGATATTTGGAAGCTAGGAAGAGATTTTAAAGAGTTTCCAGCTTCTAAAGTTGTGGAAAATAATTGTCTTGATTGTGGTAAATTTGCCAATACAGTGTTAAATAGATCTTGCCGGTGGAGTTTAGAAAAATTAACAGAATATTTAGTTGGTATTTTTTTTATGCTAAAACTGTGAATATCAAAAGGCAATCAATGTTGTTTATTCTTTTTTGTTTTAGCTGAAAAAGAAGATTAATAAGGACCCGAAAGTGAGAAAAAGTAAATGGCATATGCATCCGTTGAATGAGGAGCAAAAGCTTTATGCTGCAACAGATGCTTATGTGTGTTACCTATAGAATTGTCCATTACATACAATTGTGTTTTTTTATTTTAATATTGAATATATTTCTTTTTTACAGGTTTCCTGGCTCTTACATATAACTATACAAAAACAGGCAGATTCAAAAGATATTGAATTAAAAGAGATACAAAATAAAGAATATTGATATTGCCCCGTTATGTCTACAAAAATAGTTAAAGTTTTGTGGGCAGGTAAATTAAGTTACAGTTCTGGACTTAAGTTACAAAAGATATTATCTAATCAGCATTACCAAAAGCTGGCAAATGATAATTGCAATACATTAATATTGCTTGAGCATGATCCAGTATATACAGTTGGAATTAGAGATAAAGATTATACAATAAAAGATGAAGAGAGATTAAAAAGTTTAGGCGCAGAATTTTTCAGAACAAATCGAGGTGGCCTTATAACTTTCCATGGACCTGGACAATTAGTGGCATATCCCGTATTAAATTTGAAGCAGTTTAAAACCAGCATTAAATGGTATATCTGCCAAATAGAGGAAATGATTATTCGTTTATGTGCAGAATTTGGCATTAAAGGTGAAACATCCCCAGATACCGGTGTATGGGTAAATAATAGAAAAATTTGTGCCATTGGTGTTCATGGAAGTCGTTATATAACGACACATGGTTTAGCTCTAAATTGTAATACAGACTTAAGTTGGTTTAATCATATTGTACCTTGTGGTATCAAAGGAAAAGGTGTAACAAGTATTAGTCAAGAACTTAATGCAAATTTAACTATTCAGGATGTGCTACCGCTGTTTCACAATGCTTTTAAAGATCAGTTTCAATGTACATTAATTGAATACTCAGTAGTAGAATCTTATCAATTGTTCAAACTTCTTAATGATGATAAGTGTGTGCAAAAAACTTGAAAAAAGATGGAATGTAATAATTATAATAAATTTATATATATTTTTAATGTTTTATATATTTGTTTAAAATATTAATTTGTATAATACACGAGTGTTTTGACTCAAATTCAACGAGAAATTAAAAAATTCAGGAAACTGTTTCAATCTGTTGAGAATTTATAAATCTCTATACATTTCATAGATTAAAAGAAATATAAAACAATAGCTGAGGATATGATTCAGCAGGAACAATTGCAAAAATTTGCAAATTAATCCGTTTATTTTCTTTTTTTTTTTGACAAATGAAAATTTAATTAATGCTAGCGCTTCAAAATGCTAGCGCCGCGTTGCGGTGAAATGGTGGAACTAATCATTATTGTTATCATGCAAAATGCTTCAACCCTCAATCATCCAAAGGTGAAAGTTGAATAAAAAATAATCTTTCTCTACAATTTGGTTCCATATTTAGATAAATGAATGGATATTAATTAAAATATGCCTTTTAAGAGCTTAAAAAGAAACTGCAAAAAGATCGGTTCGATAATATGATTTTACATTGAAAATTAATGAAAATTCTATACAAAATTGTAAATGATCAAGCCATTTTCTGGTGCATTGCGAGGCGGTCACAATGTGTTCAAACTATGTACATAGTTTTATAGAATTGTGTGAACAAAGGACGATTTAGGAGTTTCTTATCAGCAGAAATTCTTCGTCTTATTTTTGGACATCTATGATTCAGGACAACAACTTGCCCATTTTTTCCTGTTGACAAGAAGCCTTAATATCCACCACGTTTCAACGCGGCCATTGTGCCCATAAGCACTCATTGTTGTCAATCTCGGTCATTGACTTACGAACCTGTTTTATTTGGTGTCTTTAAGGAACGATTAGCTTCATTCTTTTGATTGCTATTTGATTTGATCTTATCCGGACAAGTTACGCTAGGATAATCAAACTAGGCTAATGCTTCAAAATGATTGGCTATTATCAGTTATCCAATGTCCATAAAATAAGCTCGTGAGTAACGAGATAGGTAATAGACAGAACGATAAGAACCTGAGATAGAGACAGTGCGTGAGTGTGTGCAAAACCAAAATGCACAAAGAATACGTGAACAGTACAATAAAAGAAATTACGTGTCCTTTCACATCGGTAAGAAAATCGCTACGATTCGTTTACGAGTTCAGTCCACAAAATTCTACTCATACACAATCTATTTTGACAAACATTTATCCTGTCTGGAACATAAACTGCAACGCTTCACGATCGACGTCGCTAGGCGTCTCAACATTTGATCCTTCGAGTCATAAGTTACAAAGTTTATTTCATTTATCGTTTATTCCATAAAATTGAAATAAGAACACACTAGTTTTTAAATAGAAAACTTTTATTGCTTTTTTTAAATACCAATATAATGCTAAAGAAGAAGCATATAACGTCGCCGAATTAAAGTGTAATATATTCTCAATATCTTCTATCGAGAATCCTATTAATCTTTCACATTATCATTTTCCTACACTCATCAATAGACTATCCGAAAGAGAAGAAATATATTGCGTGTCGTAGCTTTATATTTCAACTTTCCTACTAATTTAGGAAATAAACACTAAACGCTAGTAAACGCTGGTAAAATTGAGACAGGAATAGGTAAGTATATTTCCTATGTTTGAACAAAATTATATACTATACGAAACATCTTTTGCAATTAAATATCCTTAAATGGAATGTAGATGTATTACCTATTATATCAATATTTCATTTGATACAATATCGCTGCAGTAGTTAAAATTGTAAATTGTAGAATTATACGAAACATCATGCATCTTTGTCAATCTTTACTTCTCTCTTTAATTGCCTATTAATCATGTAAAGTATAGTACCGTTAAAATTCGGCTCGCTCTTTTGTTCTTCGATTCTCATTTTCCAATAGGAAATATATATAATATATATAATACAGTTTGTTTAACGCTGATATAGCGACATAGAAATTGGTTAAAACGTAGTGGGAAATATACATTACTTGAAGTTTAATTTAACATTTAATAGAAAACTTCTTCGACAATGTTTTCTTGTCGATGGAACACAAATGGGCAGATAATCGTTTACTATACAAAATGCCTAACTATTTGCGTCTTTTGAACTCATGGAAATGGATAATAATAACTTTATAATAATAACGATTAATAAGATCCATCTCCTTTTTAGTTTTTCATTTGTAAATAGTTAAAACATATTGTATTTTTCTGAAATGCTATTAAAACGTGTGACCTAATTCGAGCAAAATTTTAATTGCATTTCATGAAAATTATTTTATCTAGTACTGTAATTATTCGACTGCATAAACTTATTTCCAATATAATTGAAATAAGATTCAATATAAAATATACGCTCAAAAATTCCATGAGAATTCGAAAGGAAAAAAAATCTTTTGTTAACTTGAAAGAAAAGGAAATTTAAATAAAATATACGGGATAGCATAGCAGCATCTTTTATAACATACGGTAATATATGTCGTCACGATTACAAGATCGATGCATTAGAAAAACATCAGGATGATCTCATGGCAAAAAAATGTTGTAAAGTAAAAGATATCCTCGCACGCTATCACGATCAAGAATTTTTCTAATACTATAGAAATGATTTGCTTTGAGCAATACTTCTCGGAGAAATAAAATAGCTTTGTTTGCTTTGGGGAACGAACACTAAATGAAGAAATATTGTTAAAATATAATGATTCGCGTGCATGTGTACATAACACATCACTACTACATTTATATACACGCGCCAAACATACACGCACGCATACGCACGGAGATCCTGAAGTGGTCACTTTAACGCGGCATCAAGAATGTCTTCGCCGTGGTTACTACACGTCAGTCATACATGAAAATTGTTTGTTTTAGGTTCTAGTTAGGAAGATATCTGTTTCATTATTTCCAGATATAGACATATGTAGTCAATGAACTATACATTTGCCTTTAACTCTTCAAATTTCTTAAAACAATGAATACTTGTCAGAGAAAAGGAGCAAATGAATCTGTCTTGGCGACCAATCAATAAGTCCATAACTGTATTGTCTTTTAATCCGCGTCTTCGATCTTCTAATTATAAATTAGAAAAATCTAAGTCTAAGCAACTGAATGCGTGTCACTCATTTTCTTGGTGAGTTCTTGAAGGAAATTCCTGTATATTAACGAATCCATGTTAGAAGAAAGAATGTAGAGAAGCCACCAGTCACCCAGATCAATCTTCTTGCTGATACTGGAACAAGTTTCAATGGAGGGAAGTCTTGAGGACATTTGAAGCAATCTTGGTCTGATTGCTGGAGCAAAGATTATGGCAGCTCTGTAGACCATCAGGCCCAGTAGCAGGATCAACAGAATTGTAAACCAAAACCAGATGAAAATGTATGTCTTCTCGTTGACAATATTCAACGGAAGGATACACAGAGAATCGTGCTTCTGTATCGTTCCTGATGCACCATATTTGTGGAATATGCATTTTGTCACGCGTGGAAAAATATAAACCATAGGGTCGACACGTTCTTCCTGAGGAACGTCAGGTAATGAGAGTACCCGCAAACCGTAGTTGAGAAATTCGCCATCAAAGAATTGATTCATCAGGCACAATTGAAGAAAAATGTTAATGAAACAGAGAGCCTCGCAGCCGAAATACCGATACACATACGTGTTGTGTGTCTGAAAGAAGAAGCAATCGGTGAATTGGCATAAATTGGACTCAATGAAGGCAAATTGGATCTAACCAAATTGTCTCAGCCTTCCTCTCCCCTTTACTTTTATGTTCTTTCTCTAAAGATATGATGATTTCAAATGTCACTATCGAAAATTTCTTTCCTTAAAAAAAAAAGAAAAAAAAAGAAAATCAAGAAATGGCAAAAAAACTATTGGTTATTCAAAAATCTAAAAAAGAATGTAAATTAAATTTTTAAGAAAATTGTCGCAGACAGAATTTGACAAATTTTTATCTCTTATTACCTTCCTATATTGCATTAAGTAAATCATTAGCATTGACTTTTTCTTTTCAATGTTTTCTTCGCGATCGAGACCATGATTCATACCCATAACTAGTGCATTGATCAGACCACCCTCACACATATTCCACAACCATTGTGGAATGTAGCACAGTAGCGCCTAAAAAAATATTTAATTGATTAATAACATATTACACTTATGTTGATACAATACAATACATATATTTATAAAAATCTTTGTAAACCATTTTATAAGTAATTTTACATGTAAAATGTATATATGTGTACACAATATATATATATATATATAAATATTTAAGTAAAATTGCATCAGCTTTCTGTATTATGTGATGAAAAAAATGAGAAGATATTTTTATATAATTCACATATAACCAATAACGCAAATTTATTTAACTAAATTTATTCGTGTTATATATATATACATATATACACGTCGATGTAATCTACCCCCAGCGATATGTGAAGATTTATCATTAGATTTTTTTATCAGTGAAAGAAACTGGTTACGAAAAATATTTACATATATAGGAGAACATCACTTATCAGAACCTGTCAGAGGGCAAATAGTTCAAATATCTTTCCATGCAACATGTCTTCTTCACTATCTATGAATAATTTAAATTTAGATAAACGCAGTCATTCGACAATTAATCGCATGGTAATTAAAATTTTATTCCAAGAAATGGAGTCATTAAAAAATTGAAATTGTATAACTTAATTATTAAAATGATTAAGCAACACGATTTGTCTACATGTCCAAGTTAATAATAAAAATATGAATGCCTATAGTTTATTAAAGCAGTTCTTTAATAAAAAAAAAAAAAATAATCAGAGAAAAATAATAGTTTTACAAACGTGAGAATTGTCAGTAAAGGAAAGCAATGATGAAGTTTTTAACCGATCGATTTTTGCAGTGGCGCAATAATCGTGCTTACGAATCAGTTTCCGATATCCTATACGAGAAAGGTGAGAACAACGGCAGTAAAGGAAAACCTAAACCAAGAAGGTGCGCACAGCTGTCGTATGCTTTATCTGTCGCGTGTGCACTTAAACGAGCCTTTACCTGGAAGAATAATACGAAACAGACCCACTGGTAGTAAGTGTAATATTTCCTCGCATCCACGTCACCGAAATCGTTCGCCACTCCTGGATGCGCCACTTCTAATCCAACCTGATGAAATGGTGTAGAATAATTTGTCAATAGTAACATAATGACGAGGGATTGTAGGTGCAATTGATTAAATTTATTTCTACGTCACGCGATAGGTTTGATCACGTCTTTATAGGATCCATCAGAAACATTGGTCGAAAGGATAGTTAATGTTACAATTAATAATAAAAAATTCAACTGAACGAATTATTCTTAATTAAGTATCATACTAAAGTTGCTGGATAATTATTTGAAGAATATGAGAGGACCGAGTAAATTTAGAAGTATTTAAAATTATTTAAAATTATTTAAAATTATGATCAACCACTTTTTTGTATGAAAAAAAATTGAATTAAAAATTCAAACGGATTTAATAATCATAAAATTATATATATATAAAAGATTACATTTAAAGATTAGTAATCTGGTAATTATTAATCCTCAGCAGTCTAAAATGATTTCATTTGGTATCTTCATTTATTATTAACTTTTTTATTAAGCTTTATTATATATGTAAGTAACTTTCCAAATGATGTAATTAAATAACAGTATAATCATCAATCACTTTACTTAAAAAAAATTTTTTAAAAGAAGATTCGATCTCTTAACTCTAATCACAGTTCACGTCTGCAGTCATAAGATATAACTAAATACGTTAATTAATGTTTTCTACTTTGATTTAAAAAATCAACATATAACATAAATAATTACACGAGAGATAGCATAATGGCTTCACAGTCGTGAGACAATAATCTTTCAATTTCCAAGAAATAATAAAACATTTTTTGCAATTAATATATTAACTTCAGAGCTTTCTCATAATGCATATTATACATATATTATTGCATATATTATACTGTATACGTATATTACTGCTACGTAACGGAGAGGCTCTAACCCTGAAAATATTTTCACAAAATTCAATCAGTGCGTATCGATTTTCTATAGCTATTAGCAATTGATGTGATGATCGTCAGGACCCGAAGGTCAAAAACAAGTGGTTTAAACGATAGCCGTGATTAAAACACCAGTCTGAGTTGGAAAATTAGGGACGCAGTCGTTTAAACTGGATTACCCACCTGCCGATTAAATGCGTCCGGCATAGTAAACGTAGAAGTTATCCAGCAATAAGTGTTGATAGGGTGCGTGGGTAAACCCTGAACGATACAGGAGATCGGATTGCCGACGTATTGGGTGGCCGTGATCAGTATTGAACACGTGAAAAGCAGCACCGTTGTGAAGCGATTGTGTAACCGAAACACCATCGAATCCGTCGTTATTTCCTGCCATTTTAAATATTGTCCGAGACTTCCAAGTAACTTGTACATGATTCTTTCGCTCTATCGAACTTGCGGGTCCTTCTTCTTTGATTGTTTACAAATTCGTGCGTTCTCCTTCGCGCGATTGGTCCCACGTGGCAGAATCGTTCACGAACAAGGGGGAAACAAATTATAAAAAAAAAAAAGAAGAAAAATACGAAAAAAAAAGAACACGTACGGGGAGAATATTGTTATCGACTGAAACTTCCGCGAATCCTCATTTACCACGGTCGGGCTTGAAAAGCGGTAAAATGAAACGAAACAGACACACGGATCGTCGTACGGCCTGTGTCCACGCGGCGTGCCGCTCTCTTTCCCTTTTCTCCTGATTCTCCTTCTCTTTCAGCGTCCTTCTCCCTTTTCTTCTTCCCTACTCTATCCGTTGCTGCTTCTTGTTTCTTCCTCGAGGTGAAGAGAGAGCGCGCGCGCGCGCACACACACGATCGGTCACCGAACCACGTTAAACGAGATCGCGGAACGTCCGCGATCTAGGGCTTTATGTGTACAGAGGTTCCCTTCCGTACGAATTTAATTTTGAAACGCGTCCAAGGCACGAGCCTGTCCTATCATCTTTCATTACCGATAGATCGCGATTCGACGCGCGAAACACGTTTCACGTATTATGTACTCCTCTCAGTTATGGTAAAATGCGCGCGTGTTGTTGGTAACCAATTCTCTGTTCCCTTAATCGATCGTGCATCGATTTCTCCACGTGATCTCTGACGCAGTTTCTGCTGGTATACGTGATAGTTTAATTTCTCGAGCCTGCACACAGAATCGCGCTACGACGTTACGACGATCCGAACGTTACTAATTCGCCGCTTCGTGTCGGGGCTGCGACACTCACTGTCAATTCTCCTATCTTTTTTCCTTCGGATTGCACCGGCTGAGATGATTTCTCGAAGAGAGAAACAGCCTGACGTAGAATTGTGCAACACCTTGAACTCCCCCGGCGTGCTACCCTCCCTTTCTCCTTCTCTTTTTCTTTTTTTCCTCTGTCCGCACGGCACTTTTTCCCTCGATATATCGTGCAGATAGATGTCGTACGATGAACGGGTTGTTGCAAGCAGCAGCCAACACCGAATTGTGTCGGCATATACACGTATGTACGTAGCAGTCTTCAACGTCGACTGACGAGAAGTCAGTGGCTTGTTGTTCGGCTGAGGGGCGAGAGGGAAACTCTTTCGATCTGCTAGGGGGACTGCCGGAGTAGAAACGAGTAGGAGAGGGCCCAGGAGGTGGGGATCGAAACGGTGGGGGACCGACGGCTGCTTCAAACTCCCCCCTTTGTGCCATGATACACTGTGTATACCCTGTTTCCATAGTGCATGCTCCTGCGTCCATAGCTACGTGACACACAGCGATTCTACACTGTTTTCTTTAAACAATTTCTTTCTACGTATTTTCAAATCGAAGGTTATAAATAAATACATTGATGACTTATTTTGTTTCTCTTTGCTTGTAATTACAGGCATATGTGAAAACAGAATTTTGAATATATGAGAAGGTATATCTAGGCTGCTGCTCGCATGAGATATAAGGCGTTTATTATGGCATAACGAGGAGTACAATTTTAATTTTTATTGCATTAATTAGATGATATAGACATTTCTAATTAAATTAATTTTAATAGTTCAATAGTTTCAAGTAATTTTGATCAACTTCTTATTATATTTTCAGATTAAGAATCACAGAAATATAGTGATTTGATTTTTATACATGTAGTGAAAGTGAAAAAGTTTCTTAAATTTGAAAAAAAATAAATGAAATTTCTACATTCCGTATAAAGCCAAGTAAGTTTTCTCCTTCTAATATGCAAATTAAGAGGTAAAGTCACGATTGCTATTACCCACTATGTACCGTTACTCGCTTGCTCGCATCTTCTTTTCTCTTCTGGTTCTGGTCTCTTGTTCGCCTCGAATATCGTAATGAAAGTAAATCGGTTTAATTCGATCGTTAAATTCAATTGAACACCGAGGTTGACAAGAGAAATCATACGTAGGATTTCCACAAGGTGTTTATACTCTGAATAGTAATAATAGAAAATGACTATGATACGTGAAAAATTAATGAACACTTTAGAAGACAAAAACCAAAGGAAATTTTACTATTTAATTGTATATAATTTTATTATATACAAACATATATGTAATTTTAATTTAAGGCATAAGTGGGCCAAGGTAAACTACATTTATTACATGACATTTCATATCTACAAACACAACAAAAAATTGAGACTTTACTACTCTAAAGTATTGGATAAACGTTTCCATTTATTTTGTGTAGTATTGAATAATGCGATATTAGAAAGTAGCACTGGATATTTAATTTTTATGTTACAGTTGTTATTAGTACTATTAGAAGATACTTACAAATTGTAACTGATAATAGGTTTATTCACTTTTTAGATTACAAGTAAGACAGCGGGATCAGTTGTTTGATCATTATAATACTTGAAATAAATAATAAGAAATGATAAATGAAATTTGATTGTTAGGTTTAATAGAGAGTTAAGTTGTTAATTAAATTAATTAACAATCACATTAATTAATTATTATTAACTTGCAAAAAAGGATAATTAGTCTAAATATTAATGATGATAAAATAAAAAATAAAATTATAAATTAGAAGGAGATAATTTATTTAACTCTCTATGATCTAAATATCATATATTTATATAAGAGAGAAAGATTATTCAATTCCATATATCATCATAGCATAAATTGTAGAAGATTAATTTCTTTTTTAATGTGCTCTATGGATTACATTCCATGTTCCATTTCTTCAAACTCAATTGTCAAGATAAATTCGCGTGTGAAACTACACAGGGTGCGAGCAATGCTATACGAATTATGCAATCAATATCAGCAATTTTGTACTGTCCGCTAGGTCCTCTCTCTCTTGTTTCACTTCTTTATTCCGTCGTTTACGAAGGGTGTCTGCAAATGTGTACGTGACCAGATGCACGGCCCCTGAAAGGACTGCATTTTACCCTACGAAACGGAAATACCAGCATCTCTTGTGTGTGCTGCGTCGTCATTTGTTCAGGATGCTGAAAGCTGAAATATTAGATTGCTGCAGGAAGAGCGACCGGTTTTACGAACGTTTAAGCATGAAAGTTTCACTTAAAGCCTCATACATATTTCTTTTGATCTCTTCAACTATTTATACATATTTCTAATTTTATATCATCATACAAGCCTCGTAATTTAAAAATAATTGTGCTTCTAGTACAACATGCCTTTATAAAATATTCAACGTAACTATATCTTCTAATTCTAATTCTAATTTTCAGTTCTGCACATAGTTGCGTTTCCACGTATACAAAAACGACTGTGACACATGTTATGCACATGTTTACGGAATCTTGAAGTCTCCCGGGACGCGGGGACGAGCCGCAGGAGTTCCAGTTATCATGAACCGTCATGTTAAATTAAAATTTCCACGAAAAAGAAACAATTATAGACACAATTTAAATCCTTATCAGGATATATATATATATATATTTTTTTTGTTCTGTGAATTTAGAAGAGAGAAAAAGAAAGAATATAAATATAAATATAAATAAATAAATAAATATATATATATATATATATATA